GATCCGACGAGGGCCTCGCCGGCGAGGGTCGTCGGCGATGGCCACAAGAGAGAAGAAAGAAAAAGAAAAAAGGAAAAAGAAAAAAAAGAAAGGAAAAAAAAAAAGATAAAATTTCCCCTATTCCGGCGCCGGAAATGTCTCACGCTCGCCGGCCGGCGAGCTGGGGTCCTTATTTGAGACTAGTTTGAGCACTTTGAGTCCTTAATCGAGACATTATCCACTTGAGGTCCTTTTTTGAGAAAAGAGATCCACTTTGGGTCCTTAATTGAAATTTTCCCTCAAAACAACAATCTCTTCGCCCCAACCCATTTACCCATATCTCTTTAAAAAAAATTAATCAATAATTTCTTCTTCTTTTTTTATTTGTCTAGTGAAGTCCAGTCAATTTAACTCTTTTACCCCTGTCCTCATGCGAATAAAACGACAAGAGAAGGGCACAAGAAGTGCGTATTGGGCCAGGACATGAGATCATGTCATGTACGTTGGCCCAAAGGCACATGAGGACAACATGGTAAATTACAATGGAACATTCCCTCTTTAAAAAAAAAAAAAGATTATGATGGTTGACTTTTCCAGCCATGGTCAAACTTTGGATAATGAGAAAAGGGACAAGTGCACCACAAATCCTAAAACTTGTCACAAAAGTGCATTTGAGTCCTAAAATTTACAAAAAGTTCATTTGAGTCCTAAAACTTATCAAAATGGTTCATTTGAGTCCTAAAGTTAACACCGTTAGATTTACTAACGGAAACGCTGACGTGTCATTTTTAATTATTTTTCTTGAGACACATGGCGCCACGTCAGCAAAAAATAAAAATAAAAGTAGAAAAAGCTGTAAAAAACCAAAAAAAGGAAAAAAAAAAACAGCACCGGCGGTGGCCGCCGCCACAGCCACCGGGGGAAGGACCGGCGGAGGTCGCCTGGGCCTTCCCGAAGCCCGGCGGAGGTCGCCTGGGCCTTCCCGAAGCCCAGCGACCCTCGCCGGCCTCGGGCGAGTCCCCGGCGAGGGCCGGCGACCCTCGATCTGGGGGAGGGCGCGACCCTCGCCCCAGATCTGAGCGAGGGTCGTCGGCCCTCGCCGGGGACTCGCCCGAGGCCGGCGAGGGTCGCCGGGCTTCTGGAAGGCCCAGACGACCTCCGCCAGTCCTTCCCGGTGGCTGTGGCGGCGGCCACCGCCGGTTCTGTTTTTTTTTTTTTCCTTTTTTTGGTTTTTTTTTTGCTTTTTTACAGCTTTTTCTATTTTTATTTTTGCTGACGTGACGCCACATGTCTCAAGAAAAATAATTAAAAATGACACATCAGCGCCATGTCAGCGTTTTCCGTTAGTAAATCTAATGGTGTTAACTTTAGGACTTAAATGAACCATTTTGATAAGTTTTAGGACTCAAATGAACTTTTTGCAAGTTTTAGGACTCAAATGCACTTTTGTGACAAGTTTTAGGACCTGTAGTGCACTTATCTCATGAGAAAAAGATTAAAGTTAGGCTGTGGATGCCAACCAATGAACGTGGACCCTCTTGCAAACGCATATTGCTTCTTTTCCTCCAATTGGCAACGATGCCGTCTATGGTAAGGCTCTATTTTTGGACTTTGATTTGTCAATACTCAACTGCGCCCTCCTTTTCGCCGCTACAATCGTGCGCTGTTCCATGATGCCATACCGAACCGTATTCACTTTTTTGTCGTGTTGAATGTTAGACTCTGCACGGGCTCCGGAAGCTTTGGTGCGGTAACTACCGATCCGCCTCGTCGCTAAGCTCGACTTTAGGGTCGGGGTTGGTGGGCCTTTGGGAAAAAGTCAGGCCGATCGTGGATTTCGCATGCTCGACTCCCGAAATGCAGAGAGCAGCGAGGTCCGTGGGCTGCCAAGTTGGCCGGTTTAGAGGGTGTTCAAACTTCGCGTCATCTGAAAAGGTTTCTCGTGAACTTTGCCTTAAAAAATTATACAGAACGTCCGATTTTACGTGCCCTTATCGTGTGATGTCAAGATTGCCGACTCCGACTTATGCCTAGAAAGTCTGATTCTCTTTTTCCCGTTGACTCTTTTTGTGTGATCAAATTCGGATCTAGGCATGAGATCTCGATGTACAACGTTCCATTTGAGTAAGTGCAAGGGATAGGCACATTCGTCATTGTGAACTCCGAATTTACCCAATCGTTGACCTTTTCTCTCTTTCTCCCCTTGACTGAGCCGGTTGACTTGGATTTGGTCACATTGTTCTCGTTCTTCAATAAAAAGGCCATCATCATAATAATAATAAAAAGCATAGGAAACTGAGCAATTGACAGAGGGGCAGTTGTGTCACTTGGTGCTTGTAGGGAGGCGAGTGCCTCTCTCTCTCTCTCGGCCACAACGGCATGCCGTTCTTGACCATATGTACAAACTTCTTCCGGGGACGGCCATATGTCGTTTCACTTCCCACTCCATCATCATCTGTCTCCAGCTCCCACTTAGCTTCTTAATTTAATGGTTGTACAGTGGAAATTGGATTTGCATGGGATGTTTTTAGGGGTTTTTTGCATGCCCAAATTTAGCATTCGAATTGGCCCCCCCAAAAATTAGGGAAGAATTACCGTATGTCTCGGCCCTTTCGAGGATAAAAAAAAATGTTCGAGAAAAATGGGCCGACCAATGTAACGGCACGTCCAGGAGACGGTCATCTTGGTGATATCTCTCTCTTATGTGGATGACGGCTATTGAATCTTTGACCCACTCAATAAAATGTAAAAATATGAAGGTGAGAAGGAATTCTCGATAGGCGATTTGAGTGACAATTCCAAAGAAAGGGCTAATTCTAAAAAAAAAGCATGAACTTTACCTCGAGTGACAATTCTAGCCCAAACTTTTTTTTTGTCTCAATAAAGAGCATCAACTTTTACTCAAGTCTCAAATCTGGCCCCCGTAATGTGAAATTTTCAAATTGTTCGGGCCGGATTCAGGATTTGAGTGAAAGTTGATGATTTTTCACAAGACAAAAGAAAAGTTCGAGCTAGAATTGTCACTCAAAGTAAAGTTAGTGCTTTTTTTCTCTTTTGGAATTAGGCCGAAAATAAAATCTTGTGTTTGAACCCAAAAAACAAAAACAAAAAGTAGGCAAGCCTGCAGGTGCTGCATCTTCACATCCCAATCTAAGTAGAATCGACACGAGACACGACACGACACGCCGACACGTTATTTCTTAAAAAATAGAGAAATTCGACACATTGAGACACGTTGTATATTTAATATATATTTTTATATATAATAAATTATCTTTTTTATTATTATTTCAATCAAATTAATTTGATTCAAATCTACAAATAAATAAATAATAGGGTTAATACCACGAAAAACCCAAAACTAGTACACATGTGATAAATTTATCCCGAACTATTTTTTTTTGCCACAAAAAACCCCAAACTGGTATGCCTGTGACAATTTTACCTTGAACTATTTTTTTTACCACAAAAAACGTGACACTGGTACACCTGTGACAATTTTACCCCAAATTAATTTTTTGACTACCAAAAACTCCAAACTGGTGCACCTGTGATTAATTTAATCTCAATTAGTTTCCGTTAAATTTTACCTCAAATTGCTAAGTTTAATGACATGTGATAGTTGACAGGTGTACCGGTTTGAGGCTTTACCCCTCTGTTTGTCACAAGTCTACCAAATTATGGCTTTTCGTGATATTAATTCAATTTAACGGATACTAATGTAGGGTAAATTTGTCACAAATGTACCAGTTTATGATTTTTAGTGATCAAAAAATTAGTTCTGGGTAAAATTATCACGGGTGTACCAGTGTAGGATTTTTTGTGGTCAAAAAAATAATTATGGGTAAAATTGTCACAGGTGTACCAATGTAGGGTTTTTGGTGGTCAAAAAAATAGTTTGGGGTAAATTTGTCACAAGTGTACCAATTTGAGGTTTTTTGTGATAAAAAAAATAGTTCGAGGTAAAATTATCACAAGTGTACCAGTTTTGAGTTTTTCGTGGTATTAATCCTAAATAATTAAAAACAGAGAGTGTCGGACAAGCGTTGGTGTCCGACACGATACTGAGGCCCTCGGAGAGTGTCGGTGCTTCCTAGATCCCAATACCACCAAAAATTGCAACAAAAAAAAAAGAAAAAAATTGAAGGAAAATAAAAAAAGGAAAAAGGAAAAAGAAAAAAAGGAGGTTTCCTTTGTATATACTAGGAGTGAACGGTTACAGGTTCTTTACAGGTTTTACATGGAACCTGGAGCCTACCACAGGTTCCAAGGTCTAACAGGTTCTTTTTTTATTACATTTTTAGTCAAACAAAACAAAAATGAACGTAACAATATTGAACAAGCTTGTCATTCATTAAAGAGAATACAAAAAACTAGTTTTCCTAGAATTATGGTTCAAATAAATATAACTAAAATGAGAAGTCATTGTGTGAATTGATACTAAGGGTGAGCAGTTCCATGTTCCGTATAGGTTTCTCATTTTTTGGAACTTGGAACTTACCCTATCACAAATTCTAGGGTCAGTTCCAGAGTCTACTCAGGTTCCAGAGTCTACTCAGGTTCCATCTGTATTATTAATTGAACAATTGCAGTGAATCATCATCTTTAATAACTACCACTTATTGCTATGATCCACTAATCACAACTTATATTTAGACATACGAAAAATATGAAACATTAACAAGTCATAAAATGAAAGCTCAGATTAATAGTTCTAGATCATACACTCATCATCTAATACCATGAAACACCGCAGGATCACGAGAAGACAGGTTCAGGTTCCAGGTTTCACCTACCTAGAACCTGAAACCTACTCGTCGAAATAGGTTCCACAATTTTTAGAACCTAGAACCTACCCTGCATAACTTGGAATCTGAAACTTACAAGTTCATATTAGTCAAGTTCTTAGGTTTTAGGATAGAAGCTGGAACATGCTCACCCCTAGTGTATATATATGGGCCAGCATTTCCCGTTTATATATTTCACTCGCGCCAGAGGAAATCCTCAGCTAAAGCAGAGCAATCTTGCGCAAAGATCCAAGAGCCTCCAAGATCTTCGCATTCGAAGGCCACACGATCCTCTCCTCCCTTCGCAGTCAGTCCCCACCGAACCCCACCTCTTCTTCTCCTTATCTGCTTTTCCATGGATAAAAAAGGGAAGAAAGATAGAGATATAGAGAGAGAGAGAGAGAGTAACAACAAGGCGGAAGTGTGATGCGCATATTGGGCTTGATCTTTTTGAGCGACGTGTAGCGAAACACGTATCCGATACTGGTCCGCGAACGCATTGAAGGGACGCAAGAACGAACACGACGATGCCATCGACGCTGCCCGCATTTATTTCCTACGTTTCAAGATAAGGCCTCCCCTCCCTCCCGCCCTCCCTTCGTCGTCCTCGAGCCCCGAGGGAGGAGTCGTCAACGGTTCTTGGGTTCGAGCGATTTTTTTTTTTTGTTTTGCTTTTGTTGGGAAGAAGCGGGTCGTTTCGGATGTCTGGTGAAGAATCGTCTTCTGGGTTGTTGGGTCTCGAAGGGGTCGAGGATGTCGAAGACTACATCTGGGTTAGTTTCGGTTGCTTCCTTCCTTCCTTCCTTTTCCTTGAAGCTGTTTGGTTGCGGGGAGAATGTGGGTTTTTGGCAACGGAAATTTGATCTTCGTTGTCCCTGAAGAGACATGGTTTCATTTGAGTTAAATTTGATATGTTCTTCTTCATTACCAGTTCTAGTCTGTTTTGTGAATCCCTTTGGTGAAATGTTGCATAGGTGTGATGTGAATTGGAGTTCAGTCGCGAGTTTTCCTGTTTTTTCTTCTGGATATGTAAAGGGTTGGTCCATTCCGTTCCTTTTTGTTAGATTGCCGTGAAAACGGAGAAAGAGAAAGAGAAGAATTTGGTGTTGTTGCATTTCTAGAATATTCCATCTTGAAAACTTCCTACAGTTTGTTTGCATTAAAAATTCGATGGCAAAACAGCAATAGAGAATTTGAAATTGGGAATACCTCAACTTTGAACTCTTATTGATCTGAGAAAACAAGGAGTCTCTCTCTGTGAACCTCGTGCACTTGAAAAAGACCAATCTGATTTTTCTTCCATGTTTTTTTTGAAAATAAAAGGTTTTTTCTCTTCATCATTCTCCAAACTTGGCTCTTTTTGTTTGTATTCAGTTAAATGTGTTTGGTATCGGAGAATAATGTAGTCAAAAGACGAGAATCAGTTGGTTTTTCTTGCTTTGTGCTTCTATTTTTGTTATATCTCTTTATCATTTCCTGGGTGTTGAGGATTTCAAGGAAGAACGATGGGAGGAAACTGAGACTACGGTGTTGTTTTTTCTTCATTGCTACAGGCCAACTTGAGTTGTTAGTACTCCATTTGGACGGGAATACTAATCTGACCAATTTATTTTAATGACAAGTGTCTATAAATATTGCACTGGATTCCAGGACTATAGCTGGCTTAGTTGGTATTCAAATAGCGGGAAAGAAGGGCTTTATAAAATATTTGACAATTGTCTCCTCTTTAGTTCTTCACTGGAACCTGCACAGCAAAATAGTCATTTGGTTTCTGAAGCAGTCCTCATTTCTTCAGGTCTCATTAAGCACTACAGAAGGATAATGTACCTTTTTTCTGTTGGCATTCCTAAGTGTATGGCACTGAGCATTTGAAATTTTGTTTCAATCTACGAAGAAGTTTATTTTAATCAGATTTGCAGGCGAATGAGGGGGAAGGGTCGCTGCCTTGGGACAGGTTTAGTCATGTCTTTGATCTTGTGCAAAATGGAAACCAAGCATTTCGACAGAATTGTCTTGAATCATTTGAACAGGTGCGAGAGTTGCTCGCCTTCTTCTTTGTTGTTTCTGTCTTTGTTTTGCATATTCCCTCCCGCTAAGAGCAGTGCTCGTATCTATTGTTGCTTATGCCCTGGTTTGATAGTTATTTTGGTTTAGAGTCTTATTTTTTCCACGTGAAACTTGTGTTATTATCAGATTGTGTTGGCAAACAGACCACAGACAGTGTAGAAAATTAACCTGATAATTGCTAGTTGATCTTAGTGATTCATATCCAAGGAGGTTGTCTGAGTTATCTTTTTTTTTTTTTTTTTGGTCCAAGGAGGTTGTCTTAGTTATCTAGGATAACCTCATTATTGCCAGTTTTCTTGTGAGGACAAAGACATCCTTCCTTGCACGTCAGTCATAACCTTTTTTCGGCTTGGATTGTAATGCACTTCTTGACGTGATGTTTGCATTGCTCCATACAATGTTTCTTTCTTGTTTCAGTTAGAGTGCATGATGTTAAGGGCTTTCTTGACATTGTTTGCAAGGAAAAAAACTGTCTTCATCTCAGTCTTCACTCTGATACATTGCTTTGCTATATGCCTTCCACACTATATTGGTCGGTAATAATATTAAGGGATAAGTGCACTAGAAGTCCTAAAACTTATCACGAAAGTGCAGTTGAGTCCTAAAACTTTCAAAAAGTGCAAACAAGTCCTAAAACTTGTTAGGAAAGTGCACTTGAGTCCTAAAACTTTCAAAAAGTGCAAACAAGTCCTAAAACTTGTCACGAAAGTGCAAACAAGTCCTAAAACTTTCAAAAAGTACAATCAATGGAAGGACTTGATTGAACCAATTTGACAAGTTTTAGGACTTGTTTGCACTTTCGTGACAAATTTTAGGACTTGTTTGCACTTTCGTGACAAGTTTTAGGACTTGTTTGCACTTTTTGAAAGTTTTAGGACTCAAGTGCACTTTCGTGACAAGTTTTAAGACTTGTTTGCACTTTTTAAAAGTTTTAGAACTCAATTGCACTTTCGTGACAAGTTTGAGGACTTTGAATGCACTTATCCCTAATATTAAATATCAAGTTTCAGCTTCTTTCTCATAACTTAACCTGAGAATATAAGCTGGATCTTTGTCCAATTAGTTTTGAGAGGTAGCAGCTGAAATGATGAGTCCGATGGTACCTAATTCTATTATATATTTGGCCAGAGTACCCAAATCTAATTGGCTGTACCCCTTAAACCATTGATTTGATCATGTATTCAGAATGCACAGAAACAGATTGTTATGGTGTGCAGTTTCTGTCCTTTTTTTTATTTTAACCAACTAATTGTTTCAATCTCTTCGGCAGTCGATCAATTACTACTCAAGGGCAAACAATATCAAACCCAATGATCTTGTCATTCTTGGAAACCGATGTGCTGCTTATATAAGGTTATTGTCCTACCTTTTTTCCGTAGTTCTTATTTGTTTTGTTATGTTACTTCCTCGAACATGGTTGCTCAATGTCGTATATTGATTCTCATGGCATTTATATCTAATTTATTGATGACCTCTGGACAACTTTGTCAAATTCGTGAATCTAAAAAGGGTTTCTTTCTGCTCAGGATAAGCCAATTCTTAAAACTCAGAAATCCGTCAGACTCTGAACATAGGGCGTTGAATGGGCTGGATCCTACAATACATGCAGAAGTATATCTTGCTCTCTTGTTTCCTTCTTAATAACAGGATCGTTTTAGAGTTCTAAGATAGTACTGTCTGTTATCGATTCAGCTTGCTTTAAAGGATGCTGAGAAGCTACTGAGTCTTCAAAGTACTTCAGACAGACCATATACTTTGAAGGCCAGAACTCTTTTATTGGTAAGACTGGTTCCTTTCCCTCAGTTTTAAAGCAGCCGAGGGATGGATTTGTCCCCTATTTGCACTATCTTTGGGATGACGGATAGATTTTATGTTGCTTATGTGCAGGCATCATTTATTTGGAATGCATTTTGGAGGCGTTCTTTATTCTTGTTATGATCTTGTGCATTTATTGGTTCGAATATGCTTTGACAAGAACTTGCATGAGACATGTGCATCCTTCATTCTTGATTTAGCTTATGAATTCGTATCTATGTTCGTGAAAGTATGCACATTCCTGACAAATATAAGATATTTTGGATAATTTAATTATTAAACTACGTCTTTCTCTAATAGTCTAAACTTTAAGTTAGTCGGTTGTGGCGTCAACTTCTATGTGGAGTACTCAGGGTTCTGTGGTACAACTGCATGGTCTCAACACCGAAGTTCCTTTAAAAACCTTTTAAAATTGTTCCGTTGTTTCTTTTGTAAAATAAAAAAGTGAGATGGAGAAAGAAAGAGAAATGTGGGGCTTGCTGGAAGAGTAAGACTAACTAAAGAAGGATCATAGAGCTTTTACTAGTCTGCAACTGAGATTAAATTTTTTTAGTTTTGTCAGCCCTCTATGAAAGTTCTTTTATTTGTGGCTCTCATTTTCTCGGTTGAGATCTCACATTATGGGGAATAGACAATTGATATACGTGGGGTTGGAATAAAACAAATAGAAAAGTTTTTGCTTTCTTTTGGTGATTGAGAAGGTCTCAACTAAGAGCTACTGTATGACTCAACTTTTGCTTAACTGGGGAACTCTTGGCTAGTACCCCTTATGTTTGGGTAAAAGTCTTTCAGTAAGCACACAAGTGCATGTGTACCTGACTACCTGTGGGTAGATATTCAACTCAAAACCCTCGCTCCTCGAGGCTTGGTCTAATTGTGTCCTTAATTTTGGTAATCCATAGTGGCCTTTTTGACAACAGTTACTGTTATCTGCTTTCCATGATTAGTTAGGTGTAATTTCTGGTATACCCACTTGAGAGACCAATTGTTTGGAGGGCGAGTCCACACTCTGTACTTGTGAGTGGAGTTGTCTGGCTTGATTAAGTTGTGAAATTACGTAGTGCTGACAGAATGCTGGCTCTTGGCTTGTCTTTGGTATGTTTACATGAGTACTCTGAAGTCTGATTTTTGTGGTGCTAACACTTAATGTTTCATCTGTTGGCAGTTGGAGAAGTATGAAATGGCTAGGGACACAGTAATATCTGGTCTTCAGGTGGATCCTTTTAGGTAACATGATAATTTGCTACTCACCCACATTGGTTCTTGGAAGTATATGATTGATATTATTGAGTTCTGCTTATTTGCAGCAATCCTCTTCGAGCTATTCTCCAATATTTGGAGAGAAATTTGACCAGAGTAGTGGAGAGGCGAGGCCATGGAAGACCTGAGCGTACGGATGACTTTGATTGCACGCTATGCTTGAAACTACTATATGAGCCTATCACAACACCATGTGGTCATTCTTTTTGTCGTTCATGCTTGTTTCAATCTATGGATCGTGGTGCGTAATACATCATTTTTCCTGTACTCTCACTGATGGTTTATACTACATATCTTTCATATATGTAAATTTTTTGCCTTTTAAGTCTTTACTTTTTAATTGCTAGGTAACAAATGTCCATTGTGCCGGACAGTTTTATTTATGAGTCCTAGAACATCTGCTGTCAGGTAAGCTACGTCTCTAATCTTTGCATTGGGCACATGAAATACTATAGGAGCTGTCTTCCATAGTTTCTACTTCCCTTGGTTTACTGTGTATGGAGAAAAATGTGCTTGAATTAATTCGTAATTTGACTCTAAATGATCATTTTCTTTGTGTCAGTGTGACACTTAACAGCATTATACAAAAGAACTTTCCAGAGGAATATGCTGAACGGAAGGCAGAGCATGAAAGTCTTACATATTTAGGAGTTGATTTGGTGCCCCTTTTCGTGATGGATGTTGTTATCCCTTGCCAGAAGTATCATCTTCACATTTTTGAGCCCCGATACAGGCTCATGGTAAGTTAGTCATAGTAAATAGTACTTAGCCAATTAAATGATTGCTTTATTTCAAGCCGATTCGATGTACTATACAAAATGAAGCACTTTAGTATAAGTAGGATGATTCTACAGAACAATGGTAGCAGAATTTGCTCCATTAGAAAGTGGTGAAGGGATGTCAAAATTCACATTGCAAAGTATGATATGATTATTTGCGTCAAATAGCTTGAGCTTGTGGTGCATGAAAGTTTGCAAGGACTGACTTAATTTCAATGCCGGGACGGTGCTAGTTAGTAGTGTGAGATAACCCTTTTGGAACTTAGACTGCCTAACATTAATGAGGACAAGCATTGCGTCATTGTTAAGTGAGCTCTGCCGACCCAGTTTAGTACGTCATACTATTGTTGCCATAATGCAAGTGGAGAAGCTCTCTGCAAGCAGCTGCTCCTGCTCATCTCAATCTGACTCTTAATCATCTGCCTTGCCAAGGCTCATGTGTATGTCGTTGACCAGTCGAGTTTAGATGTGTGGTGGGCACTGCCCAGAATTTGTGACTTTGCTCTGTACATCTGGGAGCTTCTTTGCTCGATTCGAAAACCTACCTACAGGTTGGAGAGAGAATCCTTGGCGCAAACACGACCTTCAGGGAGGGTTGCTTTCCATCTTAAATGTTCTCGCATTTTTGTAAAGCATGATAAAAAATGCAGCAACAAATTCGCATGCAATTAAAGCAGAAAAAAATCTCGTCATAAATTTTTAATCTGGACTCAACTTCGGTGCTGTCCAGCATTTTTCTAGCCTATGTGGTAACCTGACCTGTTACTTTCTATTTATACAACTTATTCTTGGAGATATTAGCGTTAGCATCATCTGCAAATTTATGTAGATAATCTTTTTCTCTGCTGTTGTTTACAGGTGAGGAGGATAATGGAAGGCAACCATCGGATGGGAATGGTATTTTCCATAACTTATGATTGGTTCTATCTGACTAACCCATCTGATTAATTGGGAAATTAATTATTGTTCCGTAATGTAGGTTGCAATTGATTCCAGTACCGGATCTATTGCTGATTTTGCTTGTGAAGTGGAAATTACTGAGTTAGTTATTTTAACTTATTCATCTTTTTAAATTATTCTTTGCTCTCTCAATTTCTGAAGTTTTTTGAGTTTGTTTTAACGTGATACTTCACTAGCTACATAACGTCTTCAAGATTGAAGCTTCACTGGTGTTGTCACTTCGTGTTGTCATCACTTACTACCGTCATTATATTTATATTCTTTATTCGATGTAGGTGTGAGCCACTTCCAGACGGGCGTTTCGTTATAGAGGTGAAAAATTGGTGGATTACTTCAGTGACGTACTTTATTGCATCCATGCTGAATTTTAATGATGAGACTGAGTGAAATGCTCAAAAGGTTGATGGTTGATGTAGGCCATTGGAGTATTTTTTATGTCACCTTTCTACACTATAAATTTATCTTTTGTTTCTTCAATTCTTCGTAACAATCATACAAAACTTTATGTTTCTTCAATTGAGACAATTACTTCAGAAAGTCTTTTTTGAGAAGTCTGTGTTGATATATATGTCAATTGCATGGTCCCAACACCGAACTTGTTTTAAACACCTTTGCAAATTGATCCTTTGTTTATTTTGTAAAATTAAAATGTGAGATGGAGAAAGAGAAATATGGGGCTTGCTGGAAGAGCAAGTGAATACAGTGAAGATGTTAACCGATTTCTATACAAATTGGCTTCATTAGACCAACGACTCCGCATAACTCATCATGGGTTGGTGCCCACATGATGAAAAATGCTATGCTAACTTTTATTGGTATCTATTTTGATCTGAAGTACTAAGACAATTGTGCAGGTAGAGGGCAGGCGCAGATTTCGTATAATGCGATCCTGGGATCAGGATGGGTGAGTCCTCTGGAAATGTAGTCTTGTGAATAAATTTTCAATTTGGTAGATGATCCATTAAGGTACTTTCCTCTTCGATGATAATATAGATATCGTGTTGCGGAAGTTGAATGGGTACAAGATGTGCATCCTCCAGAAGGGAACAGAGAAAGAGTGGATGTAAGTTCATCTTAACAATAGGTATCCAATCTAGATTCACGTGATTCTCCTTGCTCATTTGCCGATCCTATAGGAGTCATGTGAAATTCTAACAGATGATGGCTCTTTGGTGGCATCAATTGTAGAACGTCTTCCGTCTAAATTTTTAGGGAAGTTCCTGAAGTTATAACTGGGAATAATTTGGACAAGGTGCTTCAGATTGGCAACACCTTAAAAATTCTTAGGTTTTATTAGCAAAAACAAAATTTTGGATTGGGAAATTCATTAATTTGGAATATAATATGTAATATCGTTGGACGACCACTAATCTAGTTTGCCACTCTCAGTTACTTCATAGAAAGGTGTTAGAAACTTCGGTTGCACTTTCAGTTGCATGAAACCTGTATTGTGTAATGGCCACTTCATACTTTTGTTTATAGATTTCCAACTGCTGTGTCCTTTTCTGGGAGAGTTCTGGAATCTATTTCATTGTAAGCCAGATTAATGTCAAATATTGCTGATACGAAGTCTATTAACCTGGGCATCTGTCTAGTATAATAAATGTCAGGGATAAGTGCACCTAAAGTTCTAAAACTTGTCCTACAGTGCAATTGAGTCATAAAACCTTTAGATAATGCAATCAAGCTCTAACTTGTGGTGCAATGAAGTCCATCTCTTAACTCCATCTATCTAACGAATAGACTAACATGGCCTTTTCTATTATTTTTCTCTCCTATGTGTTTGTTGACCTTAATTCAAATGTGAATCAATGCCCAAAACGACGTCATTTTCCGCCAAATCTTAATTTTTTCCCGACCTCAGTTAAGTGTGATTAAAAGTGAAAAATGCTGAAGAGTAAAATAATATGAAATAGACAGAACTAGTGACAGCCGGCGACTGGCAATGGCTTGCTGGCCCTTCCATGTCACGTGGTCGCGGCAATGGTGGCGCCACCACCGTGTGATGCAACTAGGGCCTGCAAGCAGTAGAATCTTTTCGATTTTCTTTTTGAACGATGAAATGAGGTTGCAGCCATACATGCAGCATCAGATGTTCAAGAGAATTTTGTGGAGTGTAATTGACTTAAAATGGGCGCTCCTCTCCTTTCTTCTATTTTTTTTTCTTGAGACTGCTCACTGTCAAGCATCCTGATCTGCTTCTTCCGTTTTGGCATGATGCTGAATATAAACCTACACTCTATTCATTCAGTTTGCTGCAAAAGGTTGTGTGTATCATGATTTTAATAAGTTTAGAGCGGAAATACAACTAGTTTTCATGGGGAATCATTGCACTACAAGAATACGATTGAAAATATGCCCACATTCGAGGCCTACCAAGTTTTATGTTTCAGATGAATGAATTGGTTGGCTTGTGCGGTACTGAACTCAAAACTTCACTGGGTTCTCTTTGGAGAAAAGTAGGATTAATCTGAAAGAAAAAAATTAACTTGGATTGTTGCTGCTACTTTTGGGGGAATTGTTTCTGCTTGTAGCCATTGAACTGACATGTCGTCCTCCGAGGGGAAAGAAAAATAAAATAGCCATTCTGTGCTTGATTTCACTGGTGAGCGGTGATGTGGGTGGTTTCATGCATTGCTTCACAAATGGTCAACAATGGTTCATTTTTTTTCTTTTACCCTTTTTTTATTAATATTTTCAGTTATTTTTATCGTTTTTCCTTTTCCTTTGCAAGTTTTCGAGTTTTTGTGATGGGCTCTTGGTGAGCGCCACACTAGCACCACGTGTCTTAAGCAAGTAATAAAGAAAGTCATGTCAACATTTTTCATTAACCAAATGAGACGAAGTTAACAGATAGATTTGATTGCATCAATTTGATAAGTTTTAGGATTTTCTTGCACTTTCACGACAAGTTTAGGACTTTCAGTGCACTTATCCCTAAATTTTATGGAAATAATAATTTCCCTTTCGCGGGGGATCTTTATGGCTGAAAGATTCTTTGTTGGATACATCTCTAGAGTGAAGAGTTTCAGACATGGAATGCATATTTCAGAGAAATGGCAACAATATGAACACTTTCAGTTTCTTTGCTGCATTGCTATCATCTTTGGCTCTGCTACGCTGCTAACAAGATAATCTTTGCGGCTTTGCAGTTACTTGAATTGACGACTAATGTAGCTGCACATGCTTTGTCATGGTTGACCAGAGCCAAACAAGCAGCACGACAAGGTGATATGTCATGACAATGGCCTTTGCAGTTCCACTTATTGTTGCTTCTGTGACGTTGCTAATAGCAAAAGCTGCTATTTCATCTGAATGTCGGATTGAAAAATCTCAGCACTACTTTTAGCTTTCTCTGTCTCATATCATTTTGAGATCTTTTACTTCATCTCCTTGTATAGTTCCATATTGAGTGAAGCAGTTTGGAGAAAGTTCTATTATTTAAGTCCTTTGGGCAGTGGTAGTAGCTAAGAAAGTTAAACCAAATCCTTTGCAACATAAATATTGCAGAGATGATATCTGACCCCTTGAAGTCAAGGTAATGAGCCTTGCAAGATACCTAGCTTCTCTACCCCATGATGAAGATTGGGAGCAGGGTTTACTGAACTAACCAGAATAAGCATGAGTGTGTGCGCCCCCTCCATGTCTGTATAAATAGCTTACACGTATCAATGAAAAGTTGCCACTGATCGTACAAATGCCTTATCGTTCCCAGTAACAAACATTCATGAATTATTTCATGAAGTATATGTGGAAAGTAGGGGATTTTTTGGTTTGCTTTGGACTATATTTTAACTCTCTAAAGTTATCAATTTAGAAGAACCTCAATCCTTACCCTAACTAATCGTTATCTGTTTGGTTCGGTTTCGGAATGTATTAATTCATAGCATAGAGTTGAGCATATATACTGAAGCATAAAAGACAATATCCATAATTTGTATATCATCACATCAAACACATCATACATAAGACAATACAACATAGGAATTTATGTTCTCTTAGGCAAAAACATCGAAACCTCAGTCCTTGAGTACTCTTCACATGTGGATCAGTTTGTCTATATGAGCCAGGATAATTGTGGCTACAGTTGTTTTCTCATTGTCCAACATTTAGCAAATCCACAGACATGGCAAGGTGGTTAGAATTGTGGGGCACTTACCATTATTCATAGTTGTGATTTTCCATCGAGTGAAGTTAAAGATGCTTTTATCCATCAGGGGTTGTTCATGTTGCTGATACTTGATTTTATTTGCAGACAGATCCAAGTATGAAAAACTACTAAGCCTGGAGCGCATGATGCCCTCACCACAAGATCCTGAGCGCTTCAGTTTCTGGGTACCTTTGTTTATCAGATTAATGAGAATTGCAGCATATCCCCTTCGTTATATAGCTAATCTAGCTTTTTGGTTCAGCTTGCTACTCTAACAAATCGGAGACCTCAGGAAAAGTTGGATCTCTTGCGAATAAGAGATAGTAGAGAGGTATTTAACATATCATTGGCATTTAGTGATACATCTGCCTAGTATTTATCATCTGGTACAATGCTTGTACATTAAATGAATCATATTGTTGAATCAAATTGAAATGTCTGCATTTGCACTTTTGTTGGTGTAGTAAATTAATCACACTGTTAGGTGGAACGTCCCCCTTTGAAGTGTAATCCATCAGTAGTTCTTTGTATTTTTCTGAGTTTAAACCAGCTCTGTGTTCTTCTATGCCAGAGAGTGGGTGCCATTGGCTATAATATAAGATCCTCCGAGGCAGTATTCAACTTGGAGGAATTGGATTAAAGATCACACGTTTGTTTGTCCTAGAATAATTTACCACCGTTATGTCTATGTTGTTATTTTTTATTGCACATGGTGTTCTGTGTCCTTTATGTTGATTAAGGCTATCTGTATGCTAATTTGCTGAAAACTTGATGACATTGAATGTGCATAGGCATAGCACTCCCCGGGGAGAGGGAATCCTTTCTTTTTTTATGTTGGCCTATATTAAATGTCGCCCCTCGCGGTCGATCTCTACTCAAAGGCCATAGTGTTTCTTTCTTCAGATTTTGAACATTTGTGGTGTTCGAGGTGTATGGCCTCTGTCACCACGTTATCAAATTCAAACCTGCTGGACAGTGATGCAGTGTTCTTGGAATCACTTGAATGCGTGGCCTACATGTGATGATTTTGTTGTGCAACTTCTCTGGCCTGCCATGTGATTTCGTTGTGCTATTTTGCTTTAGCAGTTATGTTATTGCCATGAATAGTGCTATGAGGCAAGCTGATCTAATTGAGGGGCTTTAGCTGTTATGTTATTGCCATGAATAGTGCTATGAGGCAAGCTGATCTAATTGAGGGGCTTTAGCAGTTATGTTATTGCCATGAATAGTGCTATGAGGCAAGCTGATCTAATTGAGGGGGAAAGAGGGTCGGTGATTCGATTTGGTTATGTAGGATGTGTAGCTAGCTGGCATGATTTTGGAAATTCTCCTTTCTCTTGGTCATGTCATTAACTTGCCCTTCTCGAAATTGTTTCGCAGAGAATCAGCCGCGGGTTGATCTATCTAAGAGCCGAAGAACAGGGTTGCCGGGTGCAGTAATACCAAATATCAATTTGGGGGTTTGTGCCCCCCACAAGTTTTTCGCAAATAGATTTTTTTTTTTCTTTTTCAAAAGCATATAACCATATTCTTTCGATCCGCAAAGTGAAACACGCGGATCCCTATTGATTTCTTGTAAAATAAATGTGGTCACAGCCATTCGTGAAAGTATAGTTTTCGCCCGACATAGCCGATAGAGCAAGAACACGAATTTTGTTGATACATAGTGCCTATACAGTCTCATAGCCTACACGTCCTCTGACCTTGGAAATCTGATCTTGATACGATATTCTCAGACTGGCAGTTCATCGTACGTTGTACTTATGAATTTTTTTTTTTGCTAAATACGTTGTACTTATGAATTGGTTCTATTTTCCTTGTGAAAAAAGAAGGTGGCATGTCACCTGATTCTGCTGTTGGACAGTCATTTTTATTTCAATCGGTATCATAGAACTCAAATGGGCACATATGGTCCTAAAAACTGGGCCGGGCATCGGCCCATCAGCCTTGAACATGGATCTTGCTTCTACCCATTGGGCCCAATCCTAAGATGGGCCTTAATTTTGGCCCATTAGGCCTGAAAGGGGGCCCTTTATTACACTCGACTTCATTCCATCGGGCCCAGCAATGATTAACTGGGCCCCAAGATGGGTCTCATTACGCCCATCGGTCCTAGAATGGGGCACAATCCCATCGGGCCCAAATGGGATTTTATTGGGAAAATTACCAAAAAAGTTCTAAACCTTTTGTATTTGTGCCAATTTAGTCTTAAACCTTTATTTTTGACCAATTCAGTCGTAAACCTTTTACAATTGTGCCAATTCAGTCCATTTGGCCACTTTTAGTCGGCCAGTGTTGACATGGACACTGACCGGCGCTGGCCGGCTGACGTGGCAATATTTTAATTAATTATTTATTTTTTTCAAATTTTTATTTTATTTTATTTTACTTTTTTCTCTTTCTTTTTTTTTTTTCTCTTATTTGCTTTCCCGGTCGCCAGTCCGGCGACCGGCGACCGGCGAGGCCTCGCCCAAATCTAGCGAGACCTCGCCATCGCAAGGCGAGGTCGACCTCGCCCGACAACAACGAGGCTTGCCCTCGCTAGTGCCAGCGAGGGCCAGCCTCGCCCATGGCCAGCAAGGTGGAACTCGCCGGCCTTAGCCTCTCACCAGTTGCCGATCGCCAGAGCGGCGACCAAGGAAGAAGATAGGGGAAAAAAAAAAAGAGAAAAAAATAAAATAAAAATTCGAAAAAAAATAAAAATTTATTAAAATATTGCCACGTCAGTGCCGACCGGCTAAAAGTGACCGGATGGACTGAATCGGCACAATTCCAAAAGGTTTAGGACTGAATTGACAAAAAAAAAGGTTTAGGACTTTTTTGGTAATTTTCCCGATTTTATTCGCCCTATGGGGGCTGTTAATGGACCTAAGTTTGGCCCATCAGGACAGAAATGTTTGCCTTCTTCGGCCTATGTGTAATGGAGTGGGCCTAGTCTGGAATTGGGCTGGTGTGGCCTGGCAGTACCGTAGGTCCACGTAATTTCCAGCCCATTGGGCTTGCCGGATATTTTATGAAAGAGAACTTCTTGCCTTTTTTTTTTTTCCGAGAAAATTACCGAAAAAATTCTAAATCTGCCACATTGATACAGTCCTAAACCTTTCAATTTGACTAATCTAGTTCTAAATTTTGTTACATTAGTACAAATTTGACGTGGACATTCTTAATAAATTTTAATTTTTTAATTAAATTTTCAATTTTTTTTTCCTTATCTTTCCTTTGGCCTGTGGTTGGCACTTGACCATGGCCGACAACTCGCCAGCCATAGGTGGGCCGCCCTCGAAGCCTTCGGTAAGAGTCCAGCCCTTGCTAGATCCAACGAGGGCCGCGACGCCCTCGTTGACCCTTGTCTATGGCCGGTTGCCGACCATGGCCAAGTATCATCCATAGGCCAAAGGAATGAGAAGGAAAAAAATTTAAAAAATAATAAAAAATTTAAAAAATTATTTAAAATGTCCAGGCCATGTCACGTCAGCAATGTCCAACCTAAATTGGCTAGATGGACTGAATTGGTACGAATTTAAAAATAATTAAAATTAAGTTGGTCCAATTGAAATATTTAGAATTAAATTAATATCAACGTAATAAATTTAGGACTTTTTTCGTACTTTTCCTTTTTTTTCTTGCCTTCGGGCCAGAAATGCCTCCACCCCTTTTGTTTTGTTCAATAATTATACTCGTAGAAACGCGTAATCTCAAGATGAAAGAACTTGTTATGAGAATCTTATGACCAAACCACGCCAACATTTTTATATGAGCTGGTCCAAAAGAGAACTTTCCTATGCCAAAGTCTCTCTCTCTCTCTCTCTCTCTCTCACGGCAGTTGGTAGTTGCAAGACTCCCCAGAAAAGAATATTTCACACAAAAGCCAGCCGTCACCATGAGTTCTTTAACACTCCATGAACAACTTCTTGTCTCCATAGAAACGTCACCCACACTACATCTCTGCACGTCCTTCCCTTACATGCCCACAACCATCTTAGCCCCAGAAAACAGAACGAAATCTTCTCTCTCTCTTCTCATAAAGTCAATCATATGACCATGAACAAATCGGCAGCCCACTACACAGATTGAATTCTGTCTCCTTAATCCTTATGACCGGAAAAACACGGTCGAAACCATCTTCTTTCAGGTTTCTTTCAGTTGCTCTGTGAACATCAACCATTGTTGCATCAAATGAACAGGAAGCATCAATGAAGACTCCACATTGCTTTCCACTTTCCATGCCGACCCTCGTCTTCCTCTGCCTACTCCTCTTCGTGTATTTTGCTTCTGCCCAAGGCGGCGACTTTCCATCGTCTTCTTCCACCGTAGGGCCTTACATGCCTCCCGACATCTATCTCGTAGATTGCGGTTCTCCTCAACAGACCAAGCTTGATGATGGGAGAATCTTCCTATCTGAACGCGATGCATCTCCTCTCTTGAGAACCAAGCAAGACGTACTAGCTCAGGTCGATTCCTTACCCACCGGTGACTCTTCTAGTTATCCTGCTTCTTCGCTTCCGTTGTACCGCACAGCAAGGATATTTCCTGATGAAGCCATCTACACATTCAAGGTTTCTCATGCGGGCCTCCATTGGGTCCGTCTCTACTTCCATCCGATTCCTTGCCCAACTTATAACCTCGTAAACGCTGTTTTCACGGTCACAGCCAATGAACTAGTTCTGTTGTATGACTTCAGCGTGACGGATATTTCTAAATTGGTGTTCAAAGAGTACCTTATAAGTGTTACTTCATCAGATACAATGCTCCTCAAATTTACATCTGAAAAGTCATTTTCTTTTGTCAATGCACTTGAGTTTGTGTCGGCACCAGACTCCCTCATTTCTGATACTGCAACTGCAGTTCTTCCACTCGGTGAGTTCACCGGTTTAACTACCTATGATTACGAAGTAACATACCGGCTGAACGTTGGAGGGTCCACTGTAAGTCCTTCTAACGACACACTATTTAGGACATGGCAGCCAGACAATGCATATATGACTTTCGCAGCAGGAGCTCAAAACGTCTCTGTACCTTTTGGCGTAATTAAGTATCCAAACTCAGGAGCCACAGCATATACTGCTCCTTACTATGTCTATGCTACAGCAGACCAAATGGTAAATTCTGGGGTAAATCAGCAGAACTTCAATCTAACATGGCAGATGAGTGTCGATCCGAGTTTCTCATACATGATAAGGATGCATTTCTGTGATATAGTCAGCCAAAGCCTCAATCAACTGTACTTTGACTTGTACATCAATGGGTTGATGGGTGTATCCGGTCTTGACCTGTCATCCCTCACAGGAGGCCTAGCAGTACCTTACTATAAAGACTTTGTGCTTGATGCCTCAGCAATAAGAAATGGCTCCATCATGATTCAACTCGGTCCAGCAGCAACAGTCGACCCAAGCTCACCAAATGCAATCCTTAATGGGGTTGAAATCCTTAAGATGAGCAACTCTGCCAGAAGCCTGGACAGTGATCTGACAGCCGGTTCTTCCAAGGGACCAGGACCTCGAACAAGCAAGATAAAGATTATCGCAGCCATTGCCCTTGCAACTGGAATAACAGCCATGGTCTTGCTTGCCAAGACTTTTCTTGGGCAGAAGAAGAAGAGGCATCAATCTTGGAACCACATGAAGAGCTTCTCATCATGGTCCTCCCCTCTCAATAATAGCAAGGCTCATCTCTTGTCCAGTAGAACCAGCTACAGATCAAGCTTCCTCAGCTCCAGCAAGAGCAAGAGCGGTTTCTCGAGCTTTTTTGCAAGTGCTGGTTTTGGCCGGTTGTTCACCTTCAAAGAATTACAGGAAGCAACGCAAAATTTTGATGAGAAGGCAGTTATTGGAGTCGGCGGGTTTGGCAAAGTCTACCTTGGAGCTTTGGAAGATGGAACAAAAGTTGCAATTAAGCGTGGAAGCCCTTCATCACAGCAAGGCATCAACGAGTTCCAAACTGAGATACAGATGCTCTCCAGGGTCAGGCACCGTCACCTTGTTTCACTCATTGGATATTGTGATGAGAACTCGGAAATGATTCTTGTGTATGAATACATGGCAAACGGACCCCTCCGCGACCACCTTTACGGTTCAAGCCTTCCCCCACTTTCCTGGAAACAGAGGCTTGAGATCTGCATTGGTGCAGCCCGGGGTTTGCACTATCTCCATACTGGTGCAGCCCAAGGCATCATACACCGTGATGTGAAGACAACAAATATTCTCCTGGACGAGAATTTTGTAGCCAAAGTTTCAGATTTTGGGTTGTCTAAAGCAGCACCTAATTTGGACCAAACCCATGTGAGCACGGCTGTGAAGGGCAGTTTTGGTTACCTTGATCCTGAGTACTTTAGGCGACAGCAACTCTCTGACAAATCTGATGTCTACTCTTTTGGAGTAGTGCTTTTTGAGGTACTATGTGCAAGGCCAGCCATAAATCCTGCATTACCAAGAGAGCAGGTCAGCTTGGCTGAGTGGGCAATGCAGTGGCACAGAAAGGGGATGCTTGAGAAAATAATCGATCCTCACATCTCCGGGAAAATATGCCTTCAAGCACTTAAGAAGTATGCAGAAGCTGCAGAGAAATGTCTCGCAGAATATGGTGTTGATAGGCCTGCAATGAGTGATGTTCTGTGGAACCTCGAGTCAGCATTGCAGCTCGAAGAGGCCTCCGCCTCCCCTGGTTGTGATCCCCCAGAGGGAGGATTGCAAGTCTGAGAAGTCTAGCATACAAGACATGCTGCCTCTATTCACCGGCTTTGAATAGTTTTAAGTTCATTATGTATGTTTTGCCATGGAGAACTTAATCCACTCAAACTTTCTTTTGGTAATCTGATTCTCGCTTCTCAGTTTCCATCATTCTAAAATTCATAGATGCTATAGCGCTTCCTTCTCCTTGTATTCCTTCGAGTGAATAGCCAGAAACTTGGAGATAATGTTCTCTGTGATCATTGCTTCAACGTCTTTTTACCACTGATTCAACGATTACTGATTAAGCCATGGCACCTGTTATGTATATCCTTCATTCTTTAATGAAGGGTTAAAGATTCCATGACCTTGTCCTTACTGGATCTGTCTTTCAGAGATCGTTTGAGCAAGCTTAACCTGTTTCTGTTTGTCGGAATTTTTGGATAGTTCGAGAGCAATTATTTTATGTATAATATTCTCCTTTTCATCAGCAATAGGATCATCTTACGATAGACATAGTATCAATATTTTACATGGTACACAAAAGCAGAAAAGGCAGAATATTAAAGTTTGGCGTGGTCCGTCTCCCAATTGGTACTTTCCACTTGCCAGCACATCTCCAGATTTCTGGCACAACTCTGTTATTATGAGAAGACAAGGTTCTGTTGCAAAAGAAATTATCAATGAAAGAAATAGTTTTCGGCAATTAGCAGCAATTGGGATTAGCAGAAAATGCAATATGAAAGTGATAATTCCTCATAATTCCTTTCTCTGTCAATCAATTAAATTATCAATGTGAATTACCTCCCTAACAAGCTGATTGATTTTTTGCATAAGGGGAAAAAAGAGCACAAAAGCAAGCAGATCAATAAATTAGGAAGGAAAGTCACATTGGAGTCCTCAATTATTAAAAGGAAAATGATGTATTGCTGATAGCAAGAGTTCTAGTTGATAGTTTTACTGTGTTTAGATTACCTCTCTTCTAGTAATTATTGCCACTCTAGAATAACTGCAACCGGGCAAGGAAACTGGCACAAAGATCAATAAAGAGTACTTGGGGACCTGTAAGTCTCTGGAGGTCCAGTAGGTAATTCTCTTCACAAGTTTTATACAGCTGCGTGATAACAACCAAGTAAATATTAGTAATGTCGACCAGATAACATTGTCAACACAGTGAGCCAATTCATTGTCCAAAGACAGAAGTACTTTCATGGATAAGGCACAACATACGTAATTCTCTCCAATCCTGTTTGATTAATACCCGTAAACAAAATTATCTGTAGCTAAGATAAGCTATGACTGCATATGCTCAACAGTGACATCCAGCCCACTGCAACTGAAAATGATGTTTGCTATCCAGTAATCCATCAACTAACAGACGTTTAGATGAGAAGGTGGCACTCTCACAGAATTTAATGAGCTATGGGAGTAGAGATCCTACATTTGAATTCTAGGGACCCTGATTTTCCTTCCTACTTAAGATCTATATTCACAGTTTGAGCTTAGAGAAAACTGCCCGTCCAAACACAAGTGGAAGAGTTAAGTGTGCCTAGATATGACGCCATGTTATTATCCCCTATCTTAAACTTTTAGAAATGTAACTGCAATTTAGAAGTCTACTTCATAAACTTTGGACAAGAGTATGATGGCTTTAGAACGGCAATCCATGTGCAAAGTTGAGAAGGGAAATGAGGAGAAATAGAGAAACAATTGGGAGGGTTGAAGTACCTGCAATTCAAACTTGACAGTGTTCTGAGACACTTCATTAGTCTGGATGGTTGCAGGTTCATTGCCTAAATGGAGGCCATTATGCTGACAATTTTTAGTAAGGTCTTGAACTTGACCACCTTGAGACCACATGCACTTGATGTTGTAGTGTCCAATCTTTTTCCAGCAGACATTTAGCTGACGTAGTGCATTCAGAACTTCTACCATAATATGATGAGGTTGCAGTCCAAACTGAAAAATCAGACCAATAACCATGGTTAGACTGAAAAATAATTGCATAAATATAATGACCATAAGGTTGAAAAGACTCCTGTAGATATCTTATGGATCTATTTCATGAGTATAAAGCCTGTAACTTAATTGCATATGAGTACTCCTGTTGATGTCACACCTTGCTCATTGCATTGTACAAATTTCAACCCGATAACTGTGGCTAGTTAGTTTATTATCTTTCCGTTAAACACAAATTAAACCTAGGGCAAGGATTATTTGGGTTCAACTATGGGGATCAGTGTGCGACTGAATTATCGAGTTGGTCTACAACTTGTCACCGGTGATTCCTTCTACTTCTCATCAGATAAAACTTAAGTTGCAATTCAAAGGGTTAAGCTCAGTAAAAAGAATGAGCTTGTTGCCACTCATTCACAGTATATCTTGCGTATATCGCAAACATTGCAAAATAATTAAGCAAAATTCCAGGCAAAGAGCACGCTGAGGCTCAAACATCCACAAGATTTCATGATTTAGCAACTCAATTTACGCTATGAAGGTCTCAAACTATTTTCACATTAACAAATAATCAGATTTCTTATTGAATATGTATCCATTAGATAAATGGAATGCTATTTTGCTGCTTGCGTTAGCTTTTGCATTTCATGTGGAGGAAACAAGAAAGTACACATACAAGTCAGACATCACAACAAGTTCAGTACATTGTTTTACTTGCAGAATAAATATACTGTTCAACAATTCACACAAGGTGATCATATAAACCTGAAATCCGAGACCCCATCTTCCCACACTTGGTGACTGAGTAGTCTGATGTTCTATAAGCTGCTGGGCAACAGATACCGAAAACCCACCGCTGTGAACAGCAGATGAAATAAGTCCCTGGAAAATAGCAGAGAAAATTCAAGGTGAAAGCCACGCCCAAATCGTTGAAATAATTACAAATGATTTCAAGATTTGATAAACTGAAACACATACTCATTTTTAGAACTCATAATCCTTGAACAAACTGAAATGTTTTCAAGACTTTGATATATCCCTGATCCTAATGCCTCAAAGTTTACCTATTCAAAAAAGATTTTGTTTACTAGCACTCTGAGGTACTTGTTGACTAGCCAAATGAGAAAAATGTTGCAGTTTTCAAGATATTTGAATCTCTAATGATGCATGTAATCGGTGCTTTAAAACTTAAAATTTCCTCATCAAGTATGCTTAAAGCACTTGTAAGCCATCTGTGTATCAGCTAAGTTCCCGCTATCACCCGATCAAGAATTTGGTTTACATAGAAATGATGATCTAATTTTTTCAACAAAATGGAAGAGTTGCAAGCTCTGTGCTTAACAAGATGCTTATCAAATCATCTGTGCCGTGTTTTTCTCTAGAGAGAAATCATGCGCCAATCTAATGGCATCCGAACCATGTTCCCACCTATCAGGATTATTGCCGTACAAATTAAGAGACTTTAGGAACTTTTGCAACCATTAATCTAAAATTATGAGAGATATACCAGATACCTTTTGTAAAGTACAAACATATCGAGAAACAGGAGAACAATGCTTAAGGGCCTCAAAGCTGTGAAGCCATTGCTCTCCGGATGCATGTATGACATGCACAGCACAACTAAAACTGATAAAATGCACATAGTTGGGGGGGAAAAAAGATATACGAACCGCACTATTATCGAGCTCTGCACCATAAACGTTATTACCAGAGATATAGTTGTCTAACAGCAAGTAATACGACACTGTAGCCTGAAATAATCCAAAGAAGAAAGTTATTATGGATATCTAATAAACAGAGACCAAAATTTGATCAGATGGGAGAGCACATCATCTTGTATCCTGTTTTGAAGAGATTGAACCACGTGGTTCCTGTTAAAACCCAACGTAACCGTACGGTCAAGTATTTCTTCATCAACCTGTGTTAGTATGGAAGCAGGATCAGGAATAACAAACCACGAACTGGATCAGGAACATCCATACATTCTGAATGCAATTTTTTTGCTTGAGTCTGAATCTTTTGTATTTATAAGCCTCTTTGGAGACAATGATTGAGACGTCACTATTGAGATTAGCAATTACACTACACCTGGAAGATCAATTGAAAGTCCAGATCCTTTAGGCTGTAGCTACATACTTCAAAATTTTTTGTAAAAGAATTATTAGAAAGTCCATTCCAAAAGCTTAAACTATTAGCTGGAGAGAGAATTTAGAGAGTCCAATCAAAAAGCTTAAGCTATTAGGTGGGAAAATATAACTGTATCTAAGTGCTATTTGTTAAAGGGTATAATGATCTTTGGGATTTTGATGTGTATATATACTGTATTTTCTGATCAATAAAATATATATCATTATTCTTCTTACATGGTATCAGAGCCTAAACCCTAAAATTACCGTCGTCCACCACCAACCACCGTAGAACCCAAGGTCGGCGACCTCATCCACTGTAGAACCCAAGACCGGCAACCTCATACAAGGCCGGCGACCTCATCCCGGCGTCCGGCGAGCGCGGCGAGCCGGTTTGAGGTCGTCCAGGCCGGCGAGCGCGGCGAGCCGGACCCGAGGTCGTCCGGGCCCGGCGGCGCCGGCGAGCCAGACCTGAGGTCGTCCAGGCCCGGCGACCCCATTTCCGGCGCCGATTTAAGTCCTCCAGGCGTCGATCGAAGGTTTCCAGGCCAGGCGACCCACTTCGACGTCTTCTGACGTCACTAAGTGAGGAGCGGCCCCTTCTGATGGCTGCTGATTGAAGTGGAATCGAAAAAGAAGAAGAAGAAGGAGGAGGAGGAGGAGGTGAATGTGTTCTAAAGTTTGACTTGGTTGCTGATATGCTTGAGGGAAGGGAGATTATTGCTGTGTATGTTGGTTTGGATGATTGGATGTGATGTTGGTTTGGCTAATTGGCTGATTACGTGTAGTGCTATACATGTAGATTGAGAGGGGGGGCTGAGTACTGTTGCGTATAACTACTGATGTACTGAACTGATGTGCTGATTGGTTCGGATTTGGTCGATCATTTTGAAGTTGTTGTGATAGGTTGTAGAGTTTTGTTCCTGGTTTAGTGTGAGTGATTATGGCAGATAAGAACAAAGGAGTATTGACTGAAGTCGTATCTACATCTTCTAATCGTTTGACTGAGGAAAAATTAGCTGGGATCACCAACTTTCAGCATTGGAAGAGAATTGTGGTGATAGTATTGACCGGAAGAGAGCAAAATCACCATTTGACAGGTGCACGAACTGCTGCTGATACTAAATGGGATACCATGGATGCCAGAATTCTTGGGCAAATGTGGAATTCTATGGAATCTCACGTGGCTGCCTTAGTTACACATGCCACTACTGTTAAGGATTTGTGGGATTACTTGAATGTCCTTTATTCTGGGGAAAATAATCTCTCAAGGATCTATGAAATCTCCCAAGATTTCTTTAGAGCTGACAGAAAGAATCGGTCTCTTACTCAATTTTTTGCTGATTTTAAACAAATGTATGAGGAGTTTAATCATCTTTTGCCAATTACCTCTGATGTTAAGATGATGCAGGAGCAACGAGAACAATTGGCTGTTATGGGATTTTTGGGAGCACTTGGACCAGAGTTCAATGCAGTTCGTTCACAAATTCTTGGAGGAAATACCGTGCCTTCACTAACAGAGACCTTTTCTCGGGTCTTAAGGGTTTCACGTGAGTCATCTAAGGATATATCCCCCATAGGTGATAGTTCTGCCTTGGCAATCCAAGGAAATCGAGGTGGTGGTCAAGGTTGTGGTGGTGGTCGTAGTGGCCGTGGCTTTAATAGTGGTGGTAGTGGCCGTGGATTCAATAGAGGCCAATCACAGTCATATGGTAGCATCTCTAGTGACAAAGGGAGTAATACCGGACCTGCACGAACATGTCATTATTGTGGTATGCCTGGACATATTCAGCGTTTTTGCTATAAGCTTCATGGAAAGCCCCCTCATTCGGCTGTCGCTAATGTAGCCAATGCAGTAGAGTTGGGTGTTTCTTCGCAGTCTTCTGAAGGAGGAACACTGATTAGAATGTCAGAAGAGGAACTTGCTAGGTACAATCAGTTCCAGATTTCTCAGCCAATTTCCTCTTCCACAGCTACTTTTGCTCAGACAGGTAATGCAACAGCATGTCTTTCCTCTACCTCTCGCCCCTGGGTCATTGATTCAGGTGCTACCGATCATATGACTGGATCTTCAGGTATCTTTTCTGTCTTTCACGAGTCTTCGTCTAGTGTTACATTAGCTGATGGCTCTCTGTCCACAGTAAAAGGGATAGGCACAGTACTACTGACATCCTCCATATCTTTATCCTCTATCATGTACCTCCCAAATTTTCCATTTAACCTTATGTCCGTTGGTCATCTTACCAAAGAATATAACTGTTCTATAACCTTCTATCCTGATTCCTGTGTTTTTCAGGATTTGAAGACGAAGAAGACGATTGGTAAAGGACATATGTCAGGGGGACTACATGTGTTTGATAATGCTACCAGTGTAGCTTGTTCAGCAGTTTCTCCACATCAAGTTCACTGTCGCTTGGGACATCCCTCTTTAGCAAGTTTGAAGAAACTTGATTCTCGGTTTCATTCTTTATCTAGTTTTGAGTGTGAGTCGTGTCAGTTTGGAAAATTGCATCGTATTAGTTATAGTCCAAGAGTCAATAAACAGGCTTCTCGGCCGTTTTCTTTAGTTCATTCTGATGTTTGGGGTCCATGTCCTACTGCTTCAAAGTTGGGTTTCAAGTACTTCGTGACTTTTGTAGATGACTATTCAAGAGCCACTTGGCTATATCTAATGAAAAGTCGTTCTGAATTATTCTCTATGTTTTGTGCGTTTGTTAATGAAGTACATACTCAATTTTCTGCTTCTGTTTGCATTCTTAGAAAATTGAGTATGTAACAGCAGTTTGTTAATGAATTATTCTCTAGGTATTTGCAACAGCAGTTTCATACAAAGGATTTGGGTCTTCTTAGATATTTTCTGGGTATCGAAGTAGCACGGGCGAAGAAAGGTATTTATATCTCACAACGAAAATATGTTCTGGATTTGCTTACAGAAACAGGTATGCTAGGTGCTAAACCACTGGATACACCAATGGAAGTGGGCTCTAAATTGACAGCAGAAGATGGTGAGCTGTTGGATGATCCGCAGAGGTATCGAAGACTTGTTGGAAAGCTAAATTATCTGACTATCACTCGACCTGATGTTTCTTTTCCGGTGAGTGTTGTGAGTCAATTTATGTCTTCTCCCCGTACCTCACATTGGGCTGCTGTAATCAAAATTTTGAGATACTTGAAGAAAGCTCCCGGTCGTGATCTCATTTATCAGGATCATGGTCACAGAAGGGTGGAAGCCTTCTCAGATGCTGATTGGGCAGGATCTCCTATAGATAGGAGGTCTACATCAAGGTATTGTACCTTTGTAGGAGGAAACCTAGTATCTTGGAAGAGTAAGAAGCAAAGTGTTGTGGCTAGATCAAGTGCAGAATCAGAATACAGAGCTATGGCTCAAGCTACCTGTGAGCTAGTTTGGATGCGTCAATTATTAGTTGAACTTGGATTTGAAGACCCTGCGCCAATGGAGTTGTGGTGTGATAATCGAGCAGCTGTCCATATTGCCTCAAATCCAGTTTTCCATGAGCGTACCAAGCATATCGAAGTTGATTGCCACTTTGTCCGTGAGAAACTTCAAGCTAGAGTTATTTCTACTAGTCATGTTAGGACCGGTGAACAACTAGCTGATATTTTTACCAAATCTCTAGGGGGAAGTAGGATTGAGTATATCTGTAACAAGCTGGGCATGCTTGATATCCATGCTCCAGCTTGAGGGGGAGTGTTAAAGGGTATAATGGTCTTTGGGATTTTGATGTGTATATATACCGTATTTTCTGATCAATAAAATATATATCATTATTCTTCTTACACTATTGAAATCCCATAGATGAGCAATGTGTGATGACTTTAACAATAGATCATATAGGGCAAAGGGATATCTAACTTTTTTGAAGGGCCATTACCCCAAAGGTACAAACAGGATTCCATGATGCCAAGTGCGACAGCTTCTCTCTAGTCATCTCTGGGGAACTCATTTTTCTCATCTGGCTATATCTTGACTACAGGCAGGTGCCTCATCCCTCAATAGAAGCACATCGAAAAGGAGCATGCTTCTTCTGTTATCAGTAGGAGAAAAAATCTAAATACAGTCCAATTCTTCTTTTTCTACAACTCATCATTAGCTTACACCCATTATCATTCATCTAAGTTTCCTACGGGGGGGATTTTTTTGGGGCATCATCTATTGGTCTCGCCAATATCTTTTCATGTTTTGTCAGCATATCTCAGCTTCGGAAAACCATAAAGCTTGCCAAAGTTTCAGATCGAATTTGAAAACACCCTCTGGGAAATGACCCAAAAGGCGCAACCAGAGGATTACAGATGAAAGTGAGTTAAATATTAGTTCTTAGGAGGCTAATTACCCCAATCAGCCTTGCCATGAGTGGGACTTACAAGGTATAAACTATTTGGATCTGATAAATGACATGACAAGGAAAAAATAAAATTTTAAATTATCAATGGACCCTTCTCATCAAACTCAAGGACTTAACGTTTTAATAAATATCGAGCACAAAAACAAGGGCACAACTGTTTCATCCCAATATTTTGCACCAAAATATAGGATGTGGATCAACTTATAGATTCAAAATGGAGGAAAGACCACTTTGGAATGCCGCCATTCAACCAAAAAGACATGTACCTTCTTCGTGTGATGTGTTATATCTGGCAAAGCAGCAGCCAGATAATAAGGAAGATTTGCTAAGAACCAAGGATGTTGACGAATTTCAGGAATGGTTATCCGCTTTAAAGGGTCAACAACAATCATCCTCTCAATCAAATCCCTTGCTCCAGAAGTTAAATGACTTGGAAAAGTATAAACTCCACTCTGAAAGAATTGCCATCAGCTAAAATATTGTCAGTGTGACAACTTCAGTAAAAGATCATGTCAACTTATTGAACTAAAGCACTACATAACCTAGTGAACATGAATCCACGACAAGCCCCCTAACGTGGAATCGAATTAAAAAATACGTAAAATCCCACAGTATGTGCGGATTAAAATACAATCACTGATACCTTTACTTTATTATAGAGGTTAGGTAAGCTTTCATCATCGAAAGGAAGAGCGCCGCAAAGAAGGACATATAAGATGATACCACAACTCCAGACGTCAACCTCTGGCCCTGCATAAAGCTTACCAGAGATAACCTGCACATGAGAATCCGTTCAGCTGAAACATGGCCCTTCTAGCAAGCTAAAACCGTTGGATAATAACAGAATCCACTCAGAAGAGTTAAAACGCACCTCTGGAGCAGCATAATTTGGACTACCGCAACTTGTTTTTAGAAAATAGCCATCACGCATAATATTACTCAAGCCAAAATCAGCAATTTTCACATTGCCATTAGAATCCAATAGAAGATTCTCAGGCTTAAGGTCTCGATGAACCACCCTATATTTGTGGCAGTACTCTAAACCCGAAATGATCTGTTTCCAGAAAGATCCCGACAGATATATTAAAGACTTATTGGGAGGCAAAAGCACATTCCTATATAAAAAGATTGAAAGGCTGATGCATGCATAGATAGATGCAACAACTGACTGGTATTGCTACCTGCTGAAAAAACTTCCGTGCTTCATCCTCTCTGATCCTTCTATTCTCGACAATATAATCAAACAACTCCCCACGTTCTGCATACTCCATGACAACATATACATCAGTCATGGTCTCTATGATCTCATATAGCCTGATAATATAAGGATGCTCCAGCAGTTTGCCTATCTTAATCTCCCGACCGACTGTAATAAATCCCTTGACATTAGTATCAATTCAACCCTCGAAAACTATCAAGCATCTCAGCAAATGAAAGAAGAGAGCTTGGCTGCCAATACAGACATACCTTTTTCCTCCATGCGCTTTTCCCTCATTTTGTGACGGTTAAGAATTTTAATGGCCACTTTGATACCAGTTAGTCTATGCTTTGCAACTTTCACTTTGCCAAATGCACCGTGGCCAATGTTTCTTATTAGCCAATAATTCTTCAGGGATGGGTCCTCACTAGACCTTGTTCGCCGAAAGGGTTGTTCCATTGTCTTTTCCTGAGAAGTTGGGAAAGAAAGAGATAATTCTTTATAGAAAATATTGGTAAAAATATAATTTAGTTAATAATATTTCTTAAAGCACAAGACAAGATACTTAAGATAAAATTGCATCATTCAGCTGTAACAAAGCAGTTGCTAGATCATCTTCTTCCACTTCATTTGTGTGGCTAAAAGAAAAAAAAAAATAACGAAATAGACAATCAAAAGTACAGCAGGACTGGATACCTACATGCAATTCGGACATATTGGGCGATCAATCAACAAATCTTCCACCAAAGGGAGTTTGGATGCAAAAAATTTTCGTGTTTAATTTGTTTTCAAGTCAAGTGGAGATTTTACGAAACAATTATCCACACCCCCCCCCCCCCCCCCAATACCAACAAAAAAAGATCTAGTGAAACTTCAAGGGCATCAACAAAGGGGAATGGAAATGTATCAGAGTAACAATTCCATACACGTGTACAAAGAGAGCCACGGTATTTATAAGGCATGCCAGCTGTGCATGCTACCTATGAAATAGCGCATGCATACACGAAACAAGGGAGTTGGTATTTAAGAAATGAAAGCTGACGCGAAACTGAAAATCTTCCAGGCACGGTTGAAATAATGACCGTCTAATGATACAGAATACTTTGTTACTTTAGGTTACCCTTCCAGCAGCATTATTCATCAATGAAGCAAAACATAATAAAAAATCCGCCTTGGAGTATTCATATGAAAGCCTTTGACCATCATTTGAGTTTGTGACCATATCACAGAACATTTTAGCCTAAAGATCATGGCCAAACAGAAGATACACTGAGCACAAGATATCATTGAGACAACAACTTGACAAAAATCAAGTAGAACTACATGGACCAAAGGTAATAAGAAGAACAACATACTTTATTTTGAAATATGAATTCACCAGTCACCACCAATAAAGAAGTATGGAATTCTGTTGCTTTCTGAGAGTAAAGATTTCATATCTTTATTGAAAATACGACGCAAGCGATTCGACCAAACAACCTAACCCCGCTCAATGTTAGAAGAAGCCATAAGAAAGCTAACAGCATGACAATTAAAATAGCACAGTACATTTCTCTTACATCTTCAACTCTTCAATTAGTATACACCAAATAAATCTCCAGATGTCTTAACATATAAATCACTGCTTTTCCACCTACTTCACAAGCCATTTTGAATAGACCGAGCCTGTCCAAGAAGCAGCAAACTCTTGATTTGCAAGGGATTGATTAGACTGCCTTTTTTTCAACATCTGGACATCATCTGTTTCTAAAGCTGACGAGTGATTATGTATCACTAACTAAGCAGGAATCCGAGTTCTTTCTTCTAAAGATAAATACGATCAAACTGTCCATTTCTCAAGCTTATTGGTCTCCATAAAAGAATTTCAGAGACACCCATCAACCACTTACCCAAGTGACACAGGAAAAAAGACGGAATTCTAGGGAAAAAAATAACATCACCCCAAAACCGGAACAAACAAACAAACTACAAACCCCAAACCATTAAGCAAGAAAGAGATATTAAGACCACATCATGAACCACGACCGAATGCCAACATGCAAAAATGAAGTTTTGACGTATCATGCACATATATGCGCAAGGACGCATGCAAGAAGACTATTCTGCATACACACGTCAATAGCTGCCTCTACAGGAGGACTGATAATAACACGTATCCAATATTTCTCACTTCCCACACTAATACGCTTCTCTTTCTAGTAGAATTCCGAAAAAAAAAAAAAAAACACCATCCAAGCGACTATCCAAAAGACCGGTCACACAACGAGACTGAAGCTTTCAACAAGTTCGCAGACATGGGAAAAAGAGAATCGCGAACCCACAGAGACAGTAAGCACAAACCCAGGGAAAAAACTAGACCCAACAATAAATATCAAAAAAGAAGACAAAAAAAGAAAGAATCCCGCATCGACGACTCACAGCACACTCAGAACACTGACACGGGTGGGGGGGCGCAAAAAAGCACGCACCAGAACGGAGACGAGGAATCCGCCGCGAGCGAAGGGCCTCCGCCACGGAGCAGACGATGCTTGCCAACACCACCTCGACCCAGCTGCAGGATCCGAACGAAGGTGCCGATGGACGTCGACGCACGGAACCAACAAGAACAAGGAACTCCGCCATTACCGCAATTTAAGGAAGGTCTCGGTCGTGTATAAAACAATGGTTTTATGTCAACATCCTATCAAAGTGGCCAGCTTGTGTCCGACGCACTGATCTTTGTCTCCTTCGAATTGCCTCTTCTGCCTGGAACGACAGGCCGTTTGGGCCCCCGAGAATCGGGCCGGGCTATCCGGACCTTGTTTGGGCCGTGGTTTTGGGCTCCGGCAATTGGGCCCGTGTACGGTTTTGCAAATTTAATGATTAACGCTAATCATGGCCCAATCATAGATGGGTTGATTTCACTTTTTGAGTCAAGGCCCCGGCCCTCGCCAAATCTAGGCGAGGGCCGTGACCCCCTCCCCCAGAGGGCATCGGCGTCACGGCCCTCGTTGGCCAACAGTCGAGGGTGTAGCAGCGCCCCTCGCCTGTGGCCCGGGACATCGGTTTTAAAAAAGAAAAGAAAAAGAAAAAAATATTAATGAAAAATCTATAAAATATTTAAATTTTATCAAAAAATTGCCAAAATCAGCTTCGGTCGTGCCACGTAGGACGGCGGTGTCATGGTCAGCGATTTCTAGGCAAATTGACCGAATGGACTTAATTGGCAAAATTGAAAGGTTCATGCTAAATTGGCAAAAGTATAATAGGATTATGACTTTTTAGACAATTTTCCCAATTCAAATTATATGTCGAGAGATAAAATTTTATTTTTTATGGCCAAAATGTCATGAGAATATTGACCCCACATAAATAAGGGTTAATATCATTAAAACGCCATGACACATTTATCACAAAATAATCTTCGTCTCACAAAAAAAAATTCCAAACCAGCACCTCGCAATAACGCATTTACTCAAAATCAGTTTTTGTCCCGCGAAAAATTCCAAACCGGTATCCCTGATGCGAGTCTACCCTCCTCCATTAGCATCCGTCCAATATCCCGTAACAAATGCATCGGCAATAATTTCTCGAGAAATCTACCCAAAAACAAAAAAAAAAAAAAAAAAAAGCCAAGCAGATGTAGAATGCAAGTGCAAGACTATGCTATTTTAGGCATGGCTTTAGTTTTGGTTATCGAGTTATAATTTCTAGCTTGCATTAATTTCTTGGTTCTATATGGATTCCCAACAAATCCTCTTAAACTAGAAGGTCAATAATGTCGACCCTTCACCTAAGCATATAAAAATAGATTTCTCCATTATAAATTCCTTATATCTCAAACTACCATATAATAAGAGGAATAATCTCAAAAACGAGAGTTCTCATGCCCCCACCAAACCAACTTGGTCAAAGGGGGGGCATTTCATCATCTTTGAAGGCTTCCGATTAGTTAGCTGATAGTCCACTCAAACGACCCGAGTAGTACAAACCCAAGTGAGGCTTTTCCTCTTCACCATACGACACTTTTATTTTATAAAACGTCGGTTGGGGTAGATTTCTGATGTATGTATTCCACATATCTTGTCCTCCAATGTTTCTCTGTTTATTTAGGGTTTTTTTCTTTACTTTGTATGAACTCAATAGATATTGTGCTTTGGGATTGGTTAACGCGTTCTATCATTAGGGTCATCATCCATGGACGTCACGTTGTCAACACCCATCCAAAGAAAAAATTGGGAATCTGATCGGTTCGGTTATAGATCGGTTTCAGGGTCAATTAGTTTGGTTCCCGATTCCAAAAATTAGGAACCGACTCGGACAGAGTATGTTACAAGTTCTTAGTTTGGAACTTACTTACAGTGGAACCAATCACTTATAATTACCGGTCTATTCGAGTATGTTGTAATTTTACGAACCGAAGAGGGGACATATCTGGCCTAGGCCTATAGCTCTTTTTGCTGCAATTTATTTAATCCCCGCATGCTTTCTTTGTTTCTTGTTCAATTAACTCTCAAATCCTCCTATTTTAGATGGTTAGCATGTGTTGACTGAGTTCCTAAGAAACTTGTATGAGCTTCCCACTTCACTCATAGCCAAACCGAAAAACAAAGGAAAGGTCCTCTCTTTTAATATGCCTTCTGAATCGATCTATTCTCTGGGTCAAATTGCCTTCTAAATCAATCTATGCTCAAGAAAGAAGGTGGTGAAAATCATACTTCGTCAACTTTAGCAATCTTCCATCTATGCCTAGTGCTTGGTCAACCCCACCAATGATTTCCTTTTGTGGGTGACAATCGTTTCTTTTCTATATAAAGCCCAAATTTAAGAGGAAGGACAGAGCTCAAGTCATTGGTGCAGCCATCAAAAGGAAGCTAACCAATGACAGATGCTTTGGATAGACACTGTTTGATCTCATGTAAATACTGTATGTCCGATGGTTGAGGAACCCACATGTTGCAATTATTTCATCGTCACTCTTTTCTTTGTTCTTGAAAGCTAAGATTCAATGAATATGCTCATTGCTTGTAAGTAATAACCAAACGGTAATCACTCATCAGCTGTTCCATATATGTAGCTTGCAGTTGTCACGGTCCCAAGGTGCACGGTCTCGATCTGAAGTATCGGTCCGTGACACGGTGATCACCACCGCCACTTGATTACGTTTTGTCCATTTTATTTTAGGATGAAACCATAGAGTGATTTTTTTTTATCATGCTACAATATGCTGAATTTCAGATCGTAGATTTGATCTATGCCCTATTCTATCTGTGGTTAATAATAATAATACCATGTTAATTGCACTCTTGACTTCTACCAAGTTGCAACGATCATATACATTTTGCAAAAATAAAGGCCCAGATCTAATGACCTATTTAATTACAGGTTGAAGTTTTGAGGACTTGAGGTGGACAAGAAAAGGCACGCTCTTTCTCCTTAATCATTGTCTATAAATTGTGCCTGTCTGGGGCCTCGAGATAGTTAGAAGTGTGTCTGAAGCAAAATCAACGCCAAGCAGTCATGTGATCTGCAAGTAATTAAAGTCAAGCCCGTCAAAAAAATGGGGGTTTAGTTACTCTTTTAACTTTCCATCAACCACTTGAAAAGGCTGCTCTTTCATGCCTTTTTGTTTAATATTTTCAGACAGCTAAGACAATTCGCTCGGACCCCACGAGGAACAACCTTAAAGAGTCTAAGAATACGATACACACCGAACTGGTAAAAAACAATGCTCAAACAACTCCAATTCCATCAGTAGTTGTTAGTTAGTATTACTCAGCCCTTGGCCCATATAATTAACCAAAGATCACCAACTCTCCTACTCTCCCTCTTTATCAACCCCCACAGAGAGAAAGATTCAGAAGAATAGAAGATACACTACCCATTTCATGCCCATCTCCCTTGATCTTCCCTAATCACTCTTTTGATTTTCTGTAATCAGATCATGGAGGGAACAAGCAAGATTCTGAGAAGATCAGTCCACACATTCCTCCGAAACTACCAATACTTCACCACAATTTCTGCATCTCTTGCATTGCCATTCTCAGTCTTATTCCTCATTTCACAAGCCTTCTTCATTCCTTCATCTTCCTCACCAAGTCTTCTTCTTCCGCAGCTCCTCCGCAATCACTTCCAAGCTCTCTTCAGAGCTGCTGGGTTCCCAACATCGTCAGGATTCTTCACCATTCTCAGCCTGAAGCTCTCAGAGACGGTCACGTCGTCCATCTTCACACTCCCTCTCACCACCACCTTCCTCCTCATTGCCAAATCATCCGTGATTCGGCTCATTGCCCAAGTCAAAGCCAACCCGTATCTTCCTTATTCACTCCCTCCTGATCTTTTGTCAGCCTACACACCCCTCCTCCGTACCTACGTCTATGGGTACTTGGTCATTCTCTCCGCCAACGCAACCACATTCTTCCTCCTGTTTTTGGGTTTCAACTGTCTTGAAGGATTTCAATTGTCTGCTCCAGAGCATTCCCTTTCGTCGCCGGTGGTAGCAGCCATCGTTTACTCCGTGATCATCGCAAACACTTTCATAATCTGCAACTTGGCACTGGTGTTATCAGGGATTGAGAAGCACGGAGGGAGTCTCGCCATCATAAAGGCCTATTTGATGATGAGGGGAAGAAGAGCAACTGCATTATCAGTTGCAGTGATTGGAAATTTCGCCTTGGCTGCGACAGAAGCATTGTTTCGTTACCGGGTCGTAGCACCGTATCATGCGTCAGGAAGCTTCAGCTTAGGAATTTTGCTGGAGGGATGCTACATTGCTTATTTGTATTCGGTCCTCATTGTTCTTGACACTATTGTCACCTGCACATTCTTAAGAAGCTGTCAGGTTGAAGACCTGATAAATTGCGAAGACAAATTCTATTGCCAGATCCAAATTTTGGAGGCCACCGGTGGCCCATATGACAATTCCCTGAAGAATACAGACCCACTTCTGAATTCAGAGTCGTGACAGGATCGGAGATAAGTCAACTATTCTCTGTAAATCTTTACCAAGAAAGGTTGTAAATGTCAATGGAATTAATCAGATGAGTATGAGAATTTGTTGCTGTAGATTGTCTGTACGACGAAGCAGCAGCAAAATCATTTTGCTCCCACTTACTTCTTTGGTTGCTGAAATGATACAATTTGATTCAGTCAGCATTTCTTTCTTCAAATTAGATTTGGACCAAGGAAGTAATTGAAACTTGAATGTTTGATAAAGCAAAAGAGATCGATGAAAAAGCAAGTAGAATGATGCTAGGTCTATATACTAAAACTAGCTTATAAATGCTAAATGATGTGATTAGATTTCTATTTGGGTGTCGAATATAGTTCACTAGTTTAAATTCTCGCTTATAGTCTACCCCGTTAACCATTTAGTATACTGATTTTGCACACCATTAGCAGTATACGTAGCATTACTCTGTGTTAATTCATACCATGCCACGAAGTCCAGAACCACATGGACAGGCCAGAGGAACAATCCAAAGACCATACTTCAACTTAAAGCCATACCAAAAGCAGCACCTCCTTTCAATTCCTAAAGCATCATTGGGAAACGAAATGGACTCTCTTCACTTGCTTTCCTTCGAAAAATCGACAAGTCGAAAAGTAAACCTAATCTGACATGCTTACCCAAAACCTATCGGGGGATGCTATCATTCGGTACATGCAGTGGGAAAAATGAAGACCGACAAATTATATCGGAAGTCCGGGAACAATGTTCAGCTCTTAAAAAGATGTCTGTTCGGAAACTACGGCTTATCTTTCCCTCTTGCTGCATCAAAGACACTAAAATAATAAGACAATCACACGCACGCGTAGGGGTAAACATGATTTCAAGGTAGAACCGGAGAACCGGACCGATGGGAACTGGTTAAATTATAGGTTTCAGTATATGCATAGTAGGTTTCAGGTTCCAAAAATTGATAAATCAGTTCCAACAAACAGGTCCTAGGAACGAGTCTTTATGTTTTGCTCTTTCTATGCCTTCCCGCAATCTAGGTGGAACCTGAAACCACTATTCTGAGCGTCCATTTCCGGCGATATTCATGACTTAGACTTGTATTTAGCTAATGTTTCATATTTGTCATGTGCTAAAATATGAGTTGAGGTCAGTAAATTATGGCATCAAATGGTAGTCATTAAATGTGATTCACTGCAATCGTTCAATTAAAAATACATGTAACACCTACTTTGAATCTGGTACCAACGGATATCATCCCCCCTGTAACATTCGATAGACCCTAGAACTTGTGACAGGATACTTTCTAGCTTTTAGATTGCAAAAATTTGGTTACCAATTTTGACCGGTAGATTCCAAATGAACTTGGACCGACTCTAGAACCGCTCACCCCTACGCGTGAGAGAGAGAGAGATATGCCAAGACAATATGTCGAAGGTATCCACGATACGCTGACCAAGAAAAAGAATGTAAGCCTTTGATTTTCATTAATAGCGATACAATGAATTGAGTGGCAGACAAAAACAATTGCTAACCGCTATAGCCTATCCTGTTATCTCACAATTACAACAAGGGAATCCCGCCTTCTACTTTCTCTAACTTAACCTGACAAGCTATACATCTAAAATCGACGGGATCCGACCTAACAATCTGAAAGGGAAAAAAAGATACTGGACTAGCTATGTTACACGAGGAAAGAATCGTATCCTAATACAAGTTGGTCAGTAGCTTTGTACAGTGTCATCGTACAGACAGACTTCGTGCTCTACCGTCCTGGAGGCATCCACCCTGGAGCCGAAAAAAACCAATGCCCAGCCAATGAGGAAAGCAGAAGCCAAACTGGGCCTTGTGATGGTGAACCGTTTCCAACTTATCCTTCCAGGGTTCGTTCCCAAGAAGACTAAACTTCCACCATCTAAGCCGCAAATTCACACGAGAACGGCTCTTCTGGCCAATCTGAGCAATCTTCTGATGTTCATGAAAGCTCATCTCCGTTTATCAGATATCTAATTGCCAGCTCACACAGCAGCACTCGCTCGTCTGACTCAACAGCACCGCATCAGGCATGTGAAAGCTAAGTCTTCATGCTCTTTGACCTGGCAAGCGTCAAGGGAACTCACCATTTGATCCGACAGGAGATTGACCCGATCAGGAACTCATCTTTGATGGCAAGAATGAACTCGTCATTTGCTCCGACATGAGACCAATCCGCTTCCAGATCAATTAGGAGCGGCATCAAACATTGCAATTGAGTGCCGAACGGTCATCAGGGCCACTGGATTGAGGGAACTCCATTTCCAGTATAGACATGGGAACAATCACCAATCAGCTATTTACACTCTTCTTTGTAAGGCTAATTCCCTTTGCCTTTTCCATTTCGGCCTCCTTCTCAGCCTTTTTCTTCTCCAGTTCAGACTGTTTACAATTTTCTTCATGCGCTCGCCGGAACATTCTCACAAAGTTCAGGAGAGTTGCTGTAACTGTTTGGTCAAGTAGCAATTTCAACAGAGTTAATTGAACTACTGCAGCAAATATCTCTAATCGACAGAATTCAAAACAACTCAATTAAAACACAACTATAAATCAACTTGCAACAAAAAATTATGCAGTCCAATTGGTCATGTCTGACTCAAGACTAGTTAGACTTTCTCCTTTCTTGCCGAAAACACTAACTAATGTCTGCAAAAGAGTTCTCTGTCATTAAACAAAAGTTTCCTATCTAGGCTCCACTCTACAGTGAATATTGTTTATCTGGAAAAACAGAAAACAGCATGCCCTGATGTTTGGTTCCCATTATTGTTATCTCTTTAAGGACTTCCGGTGATTGCAGGTCTGTCAACTGACTCAACTACACTGTCCGATGCCTAATGAGAGCAACAGCTGCCACTTAATAGCTCAGCAGTGGCCATCCAGTTGACAATTGTGGCTGTTGTGGTTGGATGATCAATAAAAGAGGTGATGCCGGATAGTCAGTGGTGAAATTGGTAGTATTGCACCTTGGGCAAACCTTGGATGTCAAATGAACTGTTTTATAGGGGTATCTGGCCTATTTGTGTTGCAAACCTTTTAGGATCATTTCGAAGTGATGATTGCTTGATAATCAATACGAATATAAATGAAGTGATACGCTTTAAAAATAACTTGTTTATTTTGCAGAAATGCATATTGTTATCCAAGTGGTATTGTTCATTAGCCAATTTCCTCAGTCATGAGAAATTCGCAATAATTGGAAAAGAACAAAGTATGGGGTTAAATCTAAGGTATATATGGCCAAGAAATTCATTAAGTAAATCGAGTAGGCAAGCCGCATATTTTCCTTTCAGACTTGTTCTCTACACTGCAACTACATAAAGCAACAGATTTTACAAAATGTCAAATAAGCCCAGACATATTCTTCATAGAGGTCTTCTAAACTTTAATCTTCCTTACCTCCTGCAAATTATCTATCACCTGATGCAGACACCTAAAGGAAACCTGTCATTAATCTAATAATCCTCACCCCTCTCGCATAACCTACCCAACTCTTAACAAAGTTCCACCATATGATCTAACAGCGAAGTATCATCAACAGAATTTTCAACATTCTGTTTATTGACATAAACAGGACCTTGTCATTCACAATCTTAACAATGACAGATCAGAATCAAATGGCAATTGCCTTGACAACAAAAACACCTCATGAACTTCCCCACCAAAAAACTGCATCAACAATATTCAGCCAAAAGCCTGTACCATGACCTTCACAAAGGAACTAAGATAAAGACTTATGAGTTTCCAGTAGGGCTGTCAAATGGGTGGGTCGGGTCGGGTCGGAAATTTAGTGACCTATACCTGACCCGAACCGTGCGCAACCGATCCACATTACTAAAACACAGATATTTAAAAACAAGAATTTTTATGCTAGGCATCTAGTGTGTAAAATATAAAATTTTTAGTAGTTTTTAAAGGTTCCAAATCAGTTTGCAAATTTGTCTTTATTGCAAATTTTTCGAGTTTCACAATGAAGTATCTGACATCTCTGAAAATCAACAAGTCAATAAATATTTACACCTAAAATCATATATTAATTTTCACGATTTTCTAAAGCATGAAAGATCATAAATATTTTACCAATTTTCAATTTTGAAAAAAAAAAATCATAAGTAGAAGATAGAACTAGAAAATAAGTTGCCCAACCCGAAATCCCCAAACCTTGAAGACAAGTGAAGGGGGACTGCAGATGGGTTGGGCTGTAGACCCATTAAAAACCCACATTTTATTGAACTTTATTGCTCAAACCCATATCAGCCCATTCAGCAAAATTTAGCTAATCCATATATGACCCAACTCATCATATATGGGTTAATAAATGGGTTTTCAACCCATTTTGACACCTCCAGTTCCCAGGTTCGATAAATACTGACACTACAACTGGCAACTTGCCAAGCACCATCCTGGGATGTAATTAGCCGTGATAACATAGAATTTGCAGTAATAACTGCATGAGAAATTGCATTACTAGCTTACCTTGCTCAAACGGGCAACGAGCTGGATCTTCATTGAAGTACAATGCAAGTGCATCTGCATTTCTTCCCTGCCAATTTGTAAAGCGTATCATGACTAGACATTATCAGATTCCATCATTTCATAAAACAATAAATTAAAATTAAACGGCACATTACCACAGCTGAGTATAAATTCGTCAATGACGTGACGTCTGCCTCAGCGACACCAATAAATTCTTTCAAGGTCTAGACAAAGCTTAAAAGAAGAAAAAGTTTAGCAGATTGTTGGTGTTACAAGCAAAAAAAGTTAACCATTCCTAAGAAACTAACAAATTTAGAAGAAACATACAGACGAGCAAAATAGATGAGCAAAAATGGAAAGTAAACCAACAACATGCTGGCATTGATGTTAAACTATGCAGCAAAAGTACATGGAGAAAAAAAGGAATAAGTAACAACACGTGCTCCAGCTAACACAAAAATAGTAAGGATGAAAATGCATACAGAAAGAAAAGGAAAAAGAAGTGCCCCCTTTGCTAAGAAGGATGAAAGAAGTGCATCTTTACTAAAGATTGTAACTTGTAAGTAAAGTGTGCCTGATCATAGTTTACATAAAGAAGGATACCTTTCTAAAAATATCCGAAACAGGGCCATCATTTTCAGAAGCAGCCAGTTCCTGCTTTACCTTCTCTAATCCTTTAATAATAGCTTGCATTTCTTCAGCTAAAGATTTCAGTTGTATCTGCAACAAATGAAGACCAATTTTGGCATGTCCCTGAACCAATGTAACTCTCATAACAAAGACTAATATTACCTTTGATGCAACTTCCAAGCTAACAAGATCTCGATGAAAATCAAGAAGTTCTGGCGAGCGGTCAGCAAGTTTCTGAGGCACATGAAAACCAATATCAAAATTCGGATACAAGCTTAGAGTCGTAAAAACTATTCCAAGTTAACATGCATAACAGGAGAAAATTATAATTCATGAGGCAACGTTATGAAAAAATGATCTGGAACAACTCTAGCATACAAATTCTCACAACTTGTAGATAGCTGAATACCCCATGCATGCACTGACCGTACTTTCTATCTAAATTTGTCTTTCGTTTTAATGTTAGTGCATTTATTGCAGATGTATCTAGAATGTATGAACTAGCAAAGGGGCCCAAAAAATTGAAAATAGCCAAAGGGACTTTACAAAGACCTGTCATAATGAGTTCTAGAAAGAAGAATAGAATATTATCGTACAGGAAAAGATATTTTATTTGGCTTAGTCTATGCCAAGTTCCCCAACAAATTTTAGAGTTAGGCTGGGCAAGTTGAGGCATTTTAAACATGGGCCTGACCAATTGAGCACATCTGCAGAGCCATATTTGACAAATGGCGAATCCCCATAATTCAATGCCAAACTGATCATGCATAACATGGAGCAATTTCATTTCAAATTTTTTCACCTTAGTACTTAACAATTATGACAATACTTAATTCAATTTTCTAATGCATATTTCAAGTGTTTTCCATGTGTTTCCATGCAGGTGTGCAGGTTGACTTTAGAGACTTGACAGGAATTCTGAAGTGTAGTAAATATTTAAAAGGGGAAATATGAACTGCACAATTAGCCACTCCAAGGGTACCACCACCCCTCCCCCTCCCGCCACTAGAGCACATTGCATACTAGTTACGTTGATGAAAGCAAGCAAGATCACGGTACATTGTCTTTCTAATAGACCAGTAAAGTGGAAACTTCTGTTTTAATTTGTTAGAGCATTAAATTAAGACACCGTGTATTTAACTAGTAGCCGAAGGTTTAAAATTAATTTTTACCAGCATCAAAGCAAGAGATTATGTGTTCGAATCTCTTCAACCTCCTTATGTATCTCCCTAATAACAATCAGTTTTCAGTGTTTCAAGTTTTAGACCAAAATAAAGCTGGTGCATGAGGGGGAGTATTAGAGCTTTTAATTGATAACAACAATTTCCACCTTCTTATTGGAGGGAGTACTAGGGTTTAGATGAGAGCTTTTTAAAGATAATTTACTGAAGCTGAGAAAATAAAATGCACATTATCATCCACTATGGAGAGATGAAATAAAAGCTCAGTGAAAACTTAATATTTCCAATCCAAACAATCAACCATAGATCTGTGTAAATGGTCATCAAAACTTCAACCTGGAATTTTAGACTGAATAGCAACAGGTTGGAGGTTAGCACCATATACCCTGTGTTAACAATTACAAAGAACACCAGCAGATCATAGGATAATGACTATTCATACAGAACGTCGAAGTAAATAAGAAAATCTTTCCATACAAAAAAAATGATCAATCCAAATGTGCTAGATATACTTAGGTTTGTGCGTCATTTTCAAGGAGAGATTCAAATCACCCAATAACCCTTAAATAACCACCATGTTTGTTTTTCCCTGGATCAGGGGAAAGAAAAGCAAATAAACTATCAAAAAAGAAGCTTACAAAACAAATACCAGAATAACATACCTTACAGAGAAAGTGCATGAGAGTCATCTTGTTATTAGTCGCACGTGTATCGGTAAGTTTTAACAAACTGTCCAACTTAAATCCGATTGCAGATCCTGTGCATTTCAACAACTTATAATTAGTATTGGTGGAGATGACGCCCATACTTGGCATGAAAGCACAAAGCAGTAAGTTGAACAAGTTCGAAGACACTGAAGATTGTAAAGCACAAATCACATACTAACATCGTTATACTTCCAACTTAAATGACTATTGTCCAGCACGTGTGCAAGCTTTTCAAGTAGACACATGCATCAATCAGATTGTAATCATCTTCTGTTATGTATTATGGTTGCCCATTCAAAAAATGTGAATCAAACAAGCATTCACTCAGTGCAGCAAATGTATGACCTTCAATTATCATCTTTTAGTAAATTTTAAATTTGCATCATCCTTCATCCAGCATCATCTTTTGCAAGTCATAGACAATCATGCTGAATGCCATTGAGGAGCTTTGGTATTGTGGGCACTCAAATTTGACTGCCAAGAATAACAGAAAACCTTGGGAGGGTGAGACCCAGACAGAGTTATTTGGAAAACATAGCTAGAAAGAGATGGGAGAGGTTAGAGAGTGAGACCCAGTCTAATCAAAAGTGAAGCAAAGATTAACAACAATCTCTTTGACTGCTTTCCAGCTGCCGTCCGTTCATTTTCATTCTCAAAACTTGTGTTTGCTAGGTTCCACTTATCCTTGTATACTTCCTCTATAATGGATTTAACTAAAAGTGCTTACTCTATCCCCCAAAAAAAGGGCTTAATTTTGCCCAAACATGAATGGTATAAATTAAGATGGGAGACAACAAAAATAGGTATGGATCCTTTTGGTAAGATGCCCGTAAGAAAAGTAGATAGATAGAACCAGATGAAAAAATTTATCACCGGCTATGCATCTCTATCCTTCTAGGACAAATTGCATGATAAAGAATAAAATCTCAATCTATTTGGGCTATCACGTGTTATAGTGAATTTCCATTCTACAATTACATGTTAAAAACCTCTTGCGTTCTTCAAAAACTGTCTTAATTGAGGTCATACTGGTAACTAGAGGGCAAAAAGTCTCATGTCTCAACCAGTTAGACTAACTTTTGTATGTCACGAATGTCAGAAACTTTGAAAATGCTTCAGATTTTTGTGAATTTCGACAAGAATTTATATAGAACAAAGGTCATGCAAAGTACACAACCAAATGAAGACCAATGAAGAGCTTGACTCAAATAAAAGGTTTTTACCTCTTGCAGTCCCTTGGTTCAGCATGTTTCCCAAGAAGAGAATTCTCTTCATAATCTCCTTTAATTTGAAGGAACTACGGACCTGACGTAACAGAGAAAAAACCCCCAAGTCATGACAAGGCAAAAGATATACCTCTATTAATTTGTATTTGGTAATAAGTTACATACCTCTTCACATGCAGAGTTCACAGTGTTTAGGTTCTTTCTAAATTCGGAAATCTGCAGAAGATGTCACTAATTAGCAGATAGGATTACATAAAAGCATTCCATTAAAAAAAATAAAGCCCTGAAACTTGGCTAGTAAATGCAGATACCACCAAACCTGAGAGCCGAATTGTATTTTGAAAGAAAATACTCGTAATTTTGACTCCACCCTTGGCACTTTCATTAGCTCCAAAAAATACTGCAAAGACAACCAGGCAAAAAGGACATTGAAACAAGACGAAGTTGTGGAGAAAAAGGAGCAGCTAAAAAAAACCTCAATGTAAGTGTAAACATCATTAAAAATTAGCATAAACCAAGATAATTTGGTCGACCCAGCCAGACAATATTTCCTCACGTCACTTTTTGTTTCTTCTTTTTTTTTTTTTGGGTCGGTCAGGGAGGACTAGATCTCATACAGGAGGAAAAAACAATAAAATCGAAAGAAATTAAAGAAAGAGCTCATATTTGTCTTCAAAGTAAAAAAAATGAAGTGATCAAGAGAATTTCCAACCTGTTCACACTTTCCAAGGTTATCCTTATCACCGGTATAGCCCTGCGCAACATAAGGAAAAGAGAAATTAATATTAAAGAGGCCAAAAGAAGAGAAGTTGAGGAAAAATTGTACCAATCTTCATATAGAAGTCACTCAGATACAGGGGATAACCTTTTCAGGCTTGAAATTAAGGGAATGGCTAAATACTCACCTTCAGAAGTTCCATCTCCTCTTTTGTAGGGCAGAATTTTATGAGGTTTTCCACCTGATCAACATCTAATACTGACTCATCCATTGCCAGCACAGCAGCCTGAGGGAAAAAGATATTATGCATACCATTAAGCACTTTTAGTCTGGGACTCATCAAATTCACAGGATGGTAAAAGGCATTTTAACAATTGAAAAGGGGAAAAATCTTGAACAACCTCTAGACTCGCCTTAGAATGCATCATACAGATGAGAAGAGAAAATACGAAAAGCATGTGATCTCTGCCACATGCAGCTTACCATCATGTCAGAAAGAGGCATCTTAACTTTTGTGAGCATAATCTCTGTATTATTGGCCCTTCTTAGGTCAATCTGCAAGTCAATTATAAGTGAAGTTTTAGAAAGACGATATTCAAGAGAAAGACTTGCTTGCATGATGAGACAGAATCTCAGATAATAATCGTGGAAAACAGAAACATCAATCAAACACCAAACAATGCACTATTGTCATGAGGCATCTCTTTAGCTTCATGCAAATGAAAGAAACAATCACAGATGCACAAATGCAATTTCCATTTGTTGCTAACTAATTCTCAAACATCATTTCTAGAAAACATCTTTGCATTACTGCAGAAACAGAACCAAAGCCATGCTAATTCTGCAAGACACGTACATATAGTATATTCGCAGTAAATATTGCATATCCAACTAAAAGTTCCATTATACATCCTGCCATCCAACCTTTTGATCGTTTTCCCATCATGAGAATGAAAAAGCACATAAGAATATTCTACCAAGTCAAACATTAATATCATTATCATTGGTCATGTTACTAGACAACTAAAGTTGAAAGCCATAAAACCACCAGACAAGCCACCAGTTTAGACATCAACTATTAATCATCACACAACATTGCCTACTAAATGATACAGAGAAGTATGTGACCACTGTGAAAAAACTTCAACAACCTCTGATAAAGGGCTCATGTTTAACCTTTCCCAAAGAAAAGTAACTCTAACTGACTGTAGAGAAAGAATGCTCCTCCTCCTTAAATTCAGATACATAGATTTTGCAATGCTAACGGGGTACAAAAATCTATGTTAATTTCTTCCGGTCATGTTGAATAATATACAACTATACTGTACCTTGATAATTAAACTCTAACAACAATTTCTCAAAACAACAGGCTGAAATAATAGAATAAATTAGTGGGGAATTGGTACCCCATCTGAATGTCAGAATACCGCAGCAAAATGACAAATCACATCTCGCAACTAAGAGATATATCTCACACGACATGTAGTTTAGCACAAACATATCCACTTACCAGGTGGACTTTGTCCGTTTTAGATCCCATCGATTTTCGCCGCCCTCCAGATTTACCTCCTGAGTCAGCCGGTTTCGGTACGGCTGTAGAAAAAAGGCTCTCCAGCTCTGAAACATCAAACTCAGACACCCTGCATTAAGCAAAAGCTATGGATTAAAGAAGAACAAGCCATTATTAACAGTGGAGTTTCTGATCCTTTAAGGTAGAGCACAAATATCTGTCATGATAAAATTAATGCAAAAATATCATTGAAACAATGGATACATTTGAGGTTCCCCAAATCTTTGCAGCTCGTCCCATAAGCTTCCTTGGAGTGCCCGTGTCACTTTGCTCCAGTGCAATGGCTTCAAAGTAGATCGGCGAGGTGCTGTGGCAGCTATACCAGAAGGGCGTGCTAGGCCACGCCCTCTTCCAGCAGGCAAACTTCTTCCATCAGTTGCAGCATTTTTTGCCCCAAAAGGTGGAGGTGGAGGGGGTGCACCGCCTGGAGGCCTTGGCGCAGCAGGTGGGCCTGGAGCACGAGCTCCTGGAACTGGTGGTGGTAGTGGGGCTCCACGCATTGGAGGAGGTGGAGGGACAGCTCCACCAGAAAGCGGTGGAGGTGGTGGCGGTGGTGCTCTGCCCAAAGGTGGCGGAGGGGGTGGTGGAGCTCCTCGCAATGGCGGCGGAGGGGGTGGTGGAGCGCCCCGAGAAGGTGGGGGAGGTGGAGGTGGGTTTCTAATTCCCGGAGGTGGTGGAGGAGGAGGCGGCGGCGCCCCACGTGAAGGGGGAGGCGGTGGCGGAGGTGGTGCCCCACGTGAAGGGGGAGGCGGAGGAGGTGGAGGTGGGGCTCCATATGAAGGGGGAGGCGGAGGGGGAGGTGGGGCTCCATATGATGGGGGAGGTGGAGTGGGAGGTCGAGCTCCACGTGATGGAAGAGGGGGTGGCAGAGGTGGGGCTCCACGTGCTGGAGGTGGCGGTGGAGGAGGAGGAGGTGGGGGCATATGTGTTACAGGAGTAGAAAGTGAAGGAGCACCATGTGTGGAGAATGGCGGCAGCGGCGGCCGACAAGGAGGGGGTGTAAACGTCACCCGCATAGGAGGTGGAGGTTGAGGTGGAGGTGGAGGAGGTGGTGGAGGCAATGGAGGAGACGAGGAAGTAACTCCATAACTGGCAACTTCTTGTGTGACTGCTGTAGATTTTGCCGATGAAAAAGGCGGTGGAGGAGGTGGTGGAGGTGGCGGCGGCGGAGGAGAACTTGCTGATGTTGTGGAGCTTATTAAAGAAGACCCAGATGTCCAAGGGGATGGAGGGGGTAACACCACTTCACTACTTCGCCTAGGCGAGAAAAAGGGAGGTGGTGGCGGTGGAGGTGGAGGTGGAGGCATAGACGGTGTAGAGCCTGATGGAATTGATGCAGAAGGCTGAGAATGGTCGCTGGCTTGAAAATCATGCAATGACAAGCTATTACGAGGAGGTGGTTGGGGGGGAGGAGGTGGTGGAGGTGGCGTAAGGGGAGGAGGAGGCGGAGGTGGCGGAGGCGGCGGAGGTGGCGGAGGTGGAGCAGTCACCTTTTGCTGCGGGCTTGGCCGTGGAGCCGTATCTGGAGAATCCTCTCGTGTTGATGGTTCTGTACATGGAGGGGAAGTTTTGTGAGTCTCTATTGCAGGGGCAGCTGGAATTAGATGGGACTTTTTGGCACCCGTGACAGACTCTTTTGAAGAAACTGCAAGAGCAGGAGGTGCACTATTATATCTAGAAGGTGGATATGATACGTGCATTGAATTGGCGTGAGAACCTTTATTGGGAGGGATCCACCTAGGTATTGTGTTGGGCTTTGCTTGTCTCCCGTTAGTGCCCTGGGATTCTTGCTGTTTTATCTTCTGTTTTGAGGCAATTGAATCTGAAGATGATTTAGTATTATTCGACGGCAGCTTCTTTGAAGTAGGTGGCACAGACTTATCAGGCTTTTGCATACCCACATCAATCGACTTTTGCTGTAAGGATCTGGACTCTGCCTTCTTCCGTGTAGGGAGGTCCTCTATCCCATATCCATTTTCAAACTCTTCACTTTTGCCATGCAAACCATCTATATTTCTTGGTCCTTCATCTTCCAATGCCATGGAATCCAACTTAATATTCCCATTATCTACGCCTATGTCCTTCACCATATGGAGACCCGGATCCACACCCTGATGATTCTTGTACTTCACATCATCCACAACAATGTCTTTTACAGCATCATATCCAGAATCTGCCTTCACGTCATGTCTGAGGTTTCCATCATCTGATGCACAATCTTGAAATGAATGAGCATCCACGTCCTCCTTCCATACCTCTTTCACATCACCATCGTCAGGTTTGCCTTGCAAAGTACTTACATCACTCTCCCTCTTCCCTTCTTGTGCATCTACCGCGTTACTGAATATCTCTTCGACCTCAAAGAACTCCTCAGGTGAAGCACTTTCAGCCTCATTTCCATCTTCAGCAGTCGTGGCTGAGGTGGGATTAGGGACAACAGCATCAGCATCCACAAAGAGTACCTGGTACAGAGATGAGTAAATGCACTCAACTCCCGCAACACCATGAACTGAACACTCTTAGACAAAAAAACAAGGAATTACCTCCGCCTTAAAGTCCTTGGGGAACTGATCCTTGGAATCCCACAAAGCATCGACCTCATCACGGTTCAGCACCAATATATTTGACCGTACAAAGGCTGTGTGAAAGACAATTCTAAGCATCATCTCTTCTCGAACTAGATCCTCGTCCAGGTGGATACACTCAAGAACAACATCACCTTGGACACGGCATTGAATATCAATTTTGACCAGTACGCTTTCCGCCTGCAAGAACAAATATAAGTACTTTTCATTTGCAATTTTATTTTTTTCGTTACTCTCCAATTTATTTCTATTACCTGTAAATAAAAACGGGCATGCTTTTTCATATTAGAACTTGAAAAGAGGAGCTTAGAGCTTCTATTGGCTGGTGTTGAAGGGTCCTGACCATACAGACGAACAACTGGCCTACAACCTGTGCCTCCATCAAAAAGAGGAAGGTGTCTAAGAATCAGGCAATCCAAAAGTAAAGGCGTATCAGAAGGAGGCCACTCTGAACCCAAGTTTCTCCTGGAAATGTACTGCAGATATCTCAACTGTGAAGGCTGTGGATTTAAAGGAGACAAAAGATGAAGAAGCTCCTTAGGAGCTTGCTTGTAGACCATTTCAAGAGTCTTCTGCTCTCCATTATACTGTTTACGGTATAAAAGAAGACCAGCAAGCATGAACGCGAGCACAGGCCAACCTCCCCTTTCACAGTGCATCAAAAGCACGTTTTGTTGCCCTTCCAGTGACAACCAGCTTTCACTTGATTTGAGGAAGTGGTGTATCATTTCAAGTGGCAGCAGGGGACAACCCTCATACTGCCGAGGATAGTCCATCACCGTCATGTCATAATTAGACAAGATGTCTGAGATTTGACTCCGCTTCTCCCCTTCTCTAAAGTTGAAGACCATGAAAGAAGCATCAGGAAAGTAATCCTGAAGCTGTGCTACAATGCCGCCCATGTAGACCTTGTACTCATCTTCTTCCAAGACATCCGTTGAGAAGCAACAATCGAAGACTGCAAGAGAGACAACATAAAAAAAACGAAAAAGATGAAGCCACATTTTTGTGTTCAGATACATCGAACAATAATAAAGCCAAGTAACAACAAGAAAGGAATAAATCAGCTCGATGCTGCCCATCTTAGAACATTGGATATAGCTTCTCCCACAAACGAAGAGTAGAAGCAGTTTACATGAGAAACATCAAGAAGAGTTCTTCCTCATAGAAGAACTGGTAGCAACTTTTGACTCAAGAAGTAGGGACACGAGATCAATCCAAACATCCCCATTAAAACAAAATGCCCTTGCATACGTGTTTAGAGTTTTTAAGAATGAACATCACAAACAGTGGTGGAGGTATCACTAGCAATTTAGCGTACGGCCTCGGAAATATCAAGAAAGGACTTCACCCCGTGTATCGCACTTGCAATATCAACTACCAAGAGAAGAAAGAACGGAGCCGACTAGCTTGGGTAAGCAAAGAATGAATGGATAATCAAAATGACAATACCCATCTAGTGGATAGGACATAACACAAAGCAGCATGTCAACAGTGGAAATGGACACACCGTCAAAAAACTCGGTCATTTTGCGATGATCTTTAGATAAAAATTCGGCAAGGTGGAATGAGCAAACTAACCCAGAATCATACAAAACCCCGATTTGATGAATGATAGTTGCACCCCAAGCACAACTTTCTAAAAATGCACATCAAAAGAACCCAAATTGAGCCAAATTAAACGTGCCCAATTCGACGAGGAAGCACCAATCATGGAGCTCCAAAGCATCAAAAGAAACGAACGGATTGGATTGGGCCGGAAAGAGGGGGTCGGACAAAACGTACCATAGACTCTCTCAGAGATCTCGAGAAGCCTATCCGGCGGCTTCCGATAGAAGAACCGTCTGAACAGCGCCATCTACGTGGCGCTGTTTCTCCGCCGATCGGATCCAAAGCTTTTGATTCCGTCGGACGCTTTCCCGGTCGGATCAATCAATCATGGCGGATCTCGCGGGGGCGGTCGAATCTCAAGAACCTCCTTCACGACCCACCAACCGCCATGAACACGCGCCGAAAACAGATCTAACCCCGAAGGAGGAAGGGAAAAAAAAAAAATTTCCCCCCTCTCCCCGCAAATCAATCGAAACCAATCCCGACCATCCGGGGACCAAAACGAAACCCAGCCGAAACCCACAATGCGAATCCCGAAAAGGGCCGAACCCAGACCCGAATGTGCCGCGATTCTTGAAGACGAAAAGCTCGTGGGGATCGAGGGTTCTCGAGGGGTGGTGTGGGGGGGAGGCGGGCAGGCAGGCGGGCAAATTCGCAGGCGATAAAGTTAGAGAATTTGGGAAATGCCGGAGGTGGGTGAGGACGAATTAGGGTTCCGAGCAGGCATGGCGGATCAGAAGGTCGGAGGGAGAGAGAGAGAGGAGTGGGACTGAGATGGAGGAGGAAGGAGGAAAGGAGGAAGGAGGAAGACACACTAAGGTGAGACCATGACACCTTCCCTCCTCTGCAACACGAGAACCTGGGTAGCAGGAGATGTCCCCGAAAAGAAGCTGACAAAAGGAAAAGTAAAAATGATAAATTGGGAGAAAAAAAAATTTTGGAAAAAAATTGAAAAAAGAAAAAACGGGAGAAACTGCGGTTGGATGTAAAAGCTTCGGATCTTTCCCCCTTCGGTCTCCTTGGTCATCATGATCTTCGTGGAGCAAAGTTCCCCGTTGAGTAATTAGGCTCGGTAACGACACGAATGGATCGTGAACTTTGGCCCGGTATATTATTGCAATCCTTATTCAATAGGCACACGACTCTGCCCGTAAATATTTAGGAGTTCCGGATGCTAGTATCACGGGTACGAGGTTCGACTCCCGCGCTTTACAAAGAACAGAGCAAAAGTTAAAAAGTGAGGAGAGCTAGAGATAGAACAGAGTAAAAAAAAATTAAATGTGCATTGTCGCCCCTGAACTTTTAATATCTTCAATATACATATTCGATGAAAATGTTCGATGTTGTGTTATCCTTCCATTAATTCAAGTTCGTGGACGATATTGAACATTTTCATGTAGTACAAGGGATCGAATTGAACACGTGTCAAAAGCCAAAATACCATATTGAACAAATTTAAAGTAGAGGGATCATGGTACTTATTTCGAATTAAATAGACATGACAAGTCTCTAGAGAGCACTCGTCGCGCGAACCTTTTTATGACAAAGAAAAATAAGGTGAAAGAGGGTCATCTATCCCCAAGTTGTCATAGTAAGAATCCCGAAATTTTCAATTTGAGCCAAATCTACATATCGACAATATAACTTCTGGAAAGAGATTAACGAGTCATTTGGTGCGGTCCTTTCGAAATGTTAGAAGTGAAGAAATCTCTTCATATAGAATAACAAATACCTCGGTACAAGTTTAAAAACTTGAATGTATAAGTTTAAAGAGTTGCAACAACTCGACATGATAAAATTGTCTGTATTGTTGGTCAATTACTAACGACAAACCAGGCCGATAAGTTATCGGTCGCGAAATATCATCCGTTGTACCTTTAAATTAATGACAATTTCATCATATTACCCGTCTAAGAAAATTCATAAGTCTTTTCTTATCGAACATTAGAATGTTCTCTCATCAAGATGCAACCTTATTTTCTTTATAATGAGATGGATTATCAAATTCACTCAATTTAATCACCCCATGGAAAACTTTATGAGTTTCATTCAAATCGATAATACTTTGCAAGTCCTGGAATGCCCAAAAAAACCAAATCCATCATCAATATATATTATTTATTTACTTTTTCCTTTTACGGAGATTTCCTCCTTAAAGAAGCGCGACATTACAGTTACAAATTTCAAAAATACAAAATCAACAGCCCGGTAACTCTATGAATTACAAAGTTTTACACATCTCTCTTAGAGGCAATTTTGGTAAGGAACAACTTGTTACAAAATATTAGATTATATTTTCTCCAATCGGGCCAAGAAATATAATTTAAAGTAATATTTTTTTTGGTCGAAATTCGCAGTAATATTGAAATCGGAGAAAAAGGTTTTGTTTTTTGATTTTGATGCCTTTGCAAATCCCCAAAATTCCAGGGTCTTTTACAGCAGCAGTTCCGCGTCGCGTGCGTTCCCCCTCCCGTCTTTTAGCGCGTCGCGGATATCGAAAAAGGCCTCCTTTTTCCCGGGCAACTGGTTAATTTCTTTCTTGGGCAGGCTGCCACGTCATCATTGAGATTGCTTGTTTTATTTCCTCTTTGCTTTCTCCTTTTTTCCCCAATTTTGAGTTAATACTAGAAAAAAAATCCCAAAGTCCGTGATAAATTTACCGCAAACAAAAAATTTTAAACCGATACATTTGTAATAAATTTACCTTCCGTTAATTTCCGTTGAGTTAGATCAATACCACAAAAAAATCACAAACCGGTACACATATGACAAACGGAGGGTAAAACCCAAAGCCGGTATATCCATTTAACAAATCAATTTGACAGTAAAATGTGACGAAAACTAACGAAGGGTAAAATTTATCGCAGGTGTACCAATTTAGGATTTTTGGCGATCAAAAAATTAGTCTGGGGTAAATTTTTTACGGATGTACCAGTTTGGGGTTTTTTGTGATATTAACCCAAAATTTTTAGGGCTTTTCTTTCATGCATTATTTCAATTTTCTTAGCAATCCAATTTATTTCAAACATGTCCGAATCGATTTTTACTTATTATTTAATCAAAATTCCGCGACGCATGCACTTTAATTTTTTTTTTAATTTCGAATTACTTGAAAATTTCACGAAAATCAATTGCTTGCACGTAGAATCACATGTAATATTCGTTATTTTTTTTAAATTTTAAGTAACAATTTAAATTTTGACGCGCTCTAGCTCAAACAGACAGGCCTTCTTCATCTGCACTTGTAAAATTATGAGTGCAAAAAAAGAAAGGCCGCTCTCGTCGAGCATTATTACATGAAGTTCCATTCAAAAAAACGAGAAAGTCCCATTTTCAACGAGCAAATCACGGGCTCCAGAAAACACTCGAGCATCGCACGAGCGAGTCGAATCCCGAACCAATAACGGCCTAACACGACGCTGCAAGCATTTTCCGACGCCACAGACGAGAGCTCGTGCCGTGCGCCCGATCCATTTGTACCGACCCGAGAAGCTCACCAAGTTCCTAACGCATTGATGTGAGGCTGCTGTTGGGCGATCCCCCTCGGGCCACCGTACGTATGTGTTCATCAGCTAGCCTAGCCCCACGGGAAAAGAAAAGAAAGCTTTCTGGTGAGGAGGGCGGGCCAGTTCTTGCCTTCTCTTTTGTGCACCAATCAATGCACGATCGCCTCGTCCCCTTTTTATAGCCAAACCAATAGGCCCCAATTCCATCTTCCGTTTCTTGCATCAACAAGCTCCAGGAATCACAGAAGAAGCACAGCTGTATTTCTCCTCCTCCTTCTCCTTCTTCTTTTTTTTTTTTGAGCGGAAGGGACGGGAAGCCGCGACCATTGAGGTTACCCTTTTCGAAGGGGTTACTGAAGATGTTTCGTACTCGATACAGGTCAAGTAGCTACTTGGTCCGTCGAAATTCTAGAAGTCCAAGTTTAGTAAGCTTGTAACTGCAATCCTGTCGAATATGGCGGAATAGGGGTGATCGATTCCCGAATGGTCCGATTCATTCAGGAACTGGGAATCGAACTAGAGGGATCGGTTCTCAGTTTGTGGAATTGGGAACCGAACTGGTGCCCCCTAGAACCGGATCGACCAATCCGGTCCGATTCCTGGATGGGCCAATTGTTCATTTGTCGTTAATGTTCAAGATGAAATTGAAAATGTTATTGATAATTAAGGCATTTTACAAATCAGCGAGTTACATGTAACATTGTAGGTTATATAGGGATTTTTCTAATTTGTGGCAAAATTTGGTTGAAATGAGCAACTACTGTTATGTTTTGATTTGTTTTTATCATCTTACTCTAGTGCATGAGTAAACTTAGTCGCTCAAACCTTGAAGATATTCCTTTGTGAAATGAGAAATATATTAGATTTTTTTTACAAAATTTTTAAGAAATTAAAAAATATCGGTCTGATCTGAGTGGTCCAGGTGGGCGGTCCCACACATGGAACCGGACCAAAATTCACCGATTTCAATTTTATGGAATCAGTGCCCTTAGAAACCGCTTAGAACCGGCCGATTTGGACAGTTTATTTTGCTCACCCCTATGGCGGAAGTATAGGAAATCTCTCTTCATGAAGTAATAAATGCCCATGAGTTTCATCTAGTTAGCCGTGGCGTGTGATCGGGAATTTGGTTCTATGATACCAAGATTCTCCGGATTCCGATTCATACACGGCATGACATAGGCATTGAAAAAGTAGTTTCCAATGTAGATGATACGGTTACATTAGAATAGGGTCACATGGTAAAATGCTACGTTCGTTTGGCGGAGAATGAATGATTTAGAAATTATTTTCCTTAAAAGTGATCGTGTTTTCATTATCGATAATAATTCATGTTTAAACATTTCGTGAACGATAAACATATTTTTCATTCGTTCTTTTCTTAACCATGTTTAAAAAAATATTTTTCAAATCATTAATTTTTCGCGAAAAAGACGGAGCCTGACATTACCTATAAATTGAAGAAAAAGAACCAATCGAATAACGGCGTAAATTATTCTATGTGGAGTGGCGTGACGTGGGTTTTACCCGCCTGAGATGAACGTTTTCGTCGCGTCTTTTTCGTAATTCAATTTTGTAACTACACATTAAATATTATTTTTTTCTCTCGAAGTACACATGTCGAAAGCTAGAACCGTTTTCGTTTAGCCGAGCTTCATACGTCAAACAATGCAAGACGCCAACCATCGTACATGTCAAGTTGTTACAACTTTCTCCCCTTTGAGTAGAGTACAAAAGTGGGATACGAGATAGTATTGCGAGCTAAGCAACGTATCCAATTCTTACAACTTGTAATTTCTTTTCTTTTCGTTTCTTTTTCATATTTATTAAATAATCTTTTCTTCCTTATCAAGACAGAATACAATAAAACAAAAAATGGGTTATAGTAAATAGTAATATTCTTTTAATATATTTTAATTTTCTTGTTTGGTCGTCTCTATCATTAGATGATATAATGTCAATACCACAAAAAATCCCAAACTGGTACATCTATGACAAATTTACCTTAAACTAATTTTTTGAACACCAAAAACCCCAAACTAATTTGCCTGTGACAATTTTACGCTCCATTAAATTGGATTAATATAAAAAAAAAACGACAAACTCGTACACCTGCGACAAGCGAGGGGCAAAACCCGAAACATGTACATTCGTTAACTGTCACGTGTTATTTAATTCGGTAATTTGACAGTAAAATTTAATGAAAACTAATAGAGGGTAAATTTGTCATAGGTGTATCAGTTTGGAGTTTTTCGTGGTGTTAACCCTATCATTTTATATATATTTTTTGTTTGTTTGATCGTCTCTATCATTAGAATATATAAGCATGGAGATTAAGGGATAGATATAATTAAGGTATGTGTTTTAATTATTACAAAGTGATGTTGCTCGCATGTTCTTGATTTCACTTAGTATAATTGCATTAATCGAACCACGTGCACATTATACAACCCATTCAAGCGCGAGCCCAATCGAAATGCTTCCATGCCCTAATCATTGCCATCATCCTAGTTCTTAAGTTGTGAGCATGGCTGTATAGAAAAATAGTAAGGGTTAATACCGTTAAAAAAATCTTAAACCGGTACTCCACGACACGTTTAATTCGAATGACTTTTCCGCTTAGCCAAAAATCCCAAGCGGGGATCCTACGACGCATTTACTTCAAACTAATTTTTGTCTCACAAAAAATCTCGAATCGGCAGTTATGACTTCGAACTAATTTTCATCTCACAAAAAATCTCAAACCGGCATCTCTAACGTACATATACCTTTCATTAATATGCGTACCTGGCAACACGCGTGAATTCTCCACCTCGAATCTTTTATTCTCCACGTCGGATATGTCGTGCAGTCATTAAGACGTGTGGGTTCTCCATAACGAATATGTCATTCTCCATGTCAAATTCATCCCACGGTCGTCTGCACGCGTGCCAATGTGCATGGACGGAGCGTTGAGGAGGGTAGATCCAATTAAGGGGTACCGATTTAAGTTTTTTTATGAGACGAAAACCAGTCCGGGAATAAATGTGTCCCGAGGTATCGGTTTGGGACTTTTCGTGAGACGAAAATCAATTCGGGGCAAATGGGTAATGGATGAATCGGTCCGCAATTTTTTTTACGAGACGATAATTAATTTAGAGTAAATATGTTTTGAGGATATCAGTTTAAGATTTTTAACTGTATTTATCCAAATACTAATTATGCGGCAAAAGCCTTTGACTTTTATAATCATTATATAATTTGGTCTCATTATACTTTCAATTGGTGCGCATGTATCGCGATAATATCTCATTGCATGCATCTATAATTACTTAAGAAATCAGAAGATGCCACCGTAACAATCCACGTGGCAAGACGTGCACGTGGCTCTTTTTTCTTCCTCTTCTTAATACGATAATTTGGTGTGGGCGTGGGGTCCACCACCACGAGGTTTAAAAAGGGCCACTGCAGACACGACATGTGCTGATCATTTGGCCATCTTCTTCTTCGCAGTTCGTACGGTCTCTTTTGCTAAGTGGGACTATTTACACGCGCATGTCGATGTCGATGTCGATGTCGATGTCGATGCTGGCTGTGCAAATCACGGTGCCACGACTTGTGTACACTGCGAGAAATCGAGTCCGATGTGCTCGGCCGCGACCGCTTCCTCTCTCTCTCCCCCTCTCGACCCGAATTCGATCGCCGGAGCCATCGCCAACCCAAGATCCCTTCCCCAACGCCAGTCCCCGAAAAGGAGAGGGGATCTCGCTTTTAATGCCCGTGCCCGCCTGTCGGGAAAATTGGATTGCTTCGTTGACCACCCCCGGCGTATCGGGTTTCTCGCCGCCGATCGACCCCCCGCGAAACCCGTCAAACGCCGACCTACCATTCCTAATTTGACTCCTTTCTTTTCCTAGAAAGCGTGCGTGCATGGCTTAAATCTAATTTTCATCTCACATGCGGGTCAAAGGTTGGAATTTGCACGGGGAATGATATCGATGGGACACGCCCCCATCTTTCACGATTTCGACGCGGTACTTTTCAACGGCTGACCCGAATTCCCCTCCCCAAATGGTAAAATCCCAATGTCGGGTCGGTTGGACCGTGACAATGATCCGACCCGCTACTATTGGACACGCCTCGTTTAATCCCCAGTGGGTGGGGCCCCCACTTTCTATTCTCAAATCAAAGGCTAGCCTCCTAGGGCTCGTTCTAGATTCATTTATTATTGCTTTCCAATTTTAGGTTGTCATTTTCTGACCAAAAAGAAAAAGAGTGAAGTTGTCGTTTTTTCGACAAAAAAAAAAAAGAAACTTAGATTGTCATTTTTAGTGTTTTTCAGCACCTCCTAGTTCACGCCACATTGGTGCACATTAGTGCGATGTTTGTTTTACAGAAAATGTATAATTTGAAAATATTCTGGTAAAAAAATATTTCGTAATCACTTACAAAAATGAATGAACGAATAATATCCGTATTATTTATGAAAATCTTTATACATAAATTTTTATCGAATGCAAACAGTTTCTATTGATTAATTATTTCAAGCGATGCAAGCGATCGTTTTTAGGAAAATATTTTCCGAATCATCCGTTTTCCGCGAAACAAACGGGGCCTAAATTGATTTTCATAAGCTACTACATGCCCAAAATATAAAAGTGGTATCGTGAAGCCATTTAGTAAATTGATGCAGGGACCTTACTGTCAATGGAAAATTTGGTAGCTCGAATGATCCGTTTCACGAGCAGGAATTCATATATTTCGCAGGCCTCTGAAAGAAAGAATCTTCGTATTCACCAGATGCATGCCGCCGTGTTAGAACGATCCATCCAAATTTAGAAATCGAAGTAAGGCAATAGATAAGGCCCTAAGAAGAAGAAAATCGTCATAATTACTTGCTGCTTGAGATACGCAATGTATATCCCGTAAATTTCTTCATTTGCACACACGTTTGGAAGTCTTAATTTACCCCATATGAGATTGGTTAAAAGTTCATCATCAGACCAAAAATTCAAATCAATATGGTGATTGATATTGTCACGGCCCTCTTGGGGTGGACTCGAGTGAGCTCGACGGATCGCCTAGCGGGGCGCGAATGATTAAAGATTTCGATTAAAGAGTTCGCAATCCAATCCTGGACTTCTTCAGGCCTTGTCGTATGCAGAAACAGTGGTCCATCCTCAAGGACCCAATCCAGAAGACAGGGCACATGCACTTTTTCAACGCACTCACCCGATCTCGTCCGATCCATTCCTTTTCTCACCTTATCCTTCCGATTTCTATATCAGCTATACAATATCAGATGAAAAGTTTGGTCACATTTTGTAATTTCCTGCACAACATTGAGTGCATGATGGCTCATGGATGGTTATGTCCTAAACCACCCGTCTGATGTCTTCTAGGCAACTGCCAGCTCTGATGCTGATGGGTCTGAAAATTGGGTGTTGTCAGATCACTATCCAATGTTGGCATGAACTCCTTGTACATCATGCAAAACGACCCTTCTCAATTTTCCATACCCGTTTGCTTTCTTTCACTTTCCTGGGAAACAAACAAGTGTTGTCGTTGTGGGATTGGAGGGCCAGGACAAGAATTGCCATGGCAAGTTTCGTATGAAGATCTGTGGCAGGTTTAGTGTCAGTAGCAGAAGACAAGACATGCAAATTGACTGCAAATATCTCTACACATTATTGAGGAGAGAGGGAGGGGTTCAGGGCCATTTGATTAATCATCGTGTTATACGTGGGAAGATGAACGGGGCTAAGCGATTTGCCAAAGCTGTGGGAGGTAAAAATGCATCGGCGGTTTTGATCGACATACCATAGACAATCTTGTTTGGACACTCTTCATGGTACTTCAATTCTAGGCTTTGGCCGACGGTATTCATTCTAATCAAGTTCCACGACAAGAGCCACTAATAAGTCGGTGACAGTGTCTGTACCTCTTGTTTTCATATTTGAAGATAAACCTATTGCCATGCAATAGTTAGGAATTCTTGACGGTATCGAACTGGAACCACCTGACCAAGTTACTTGGAAAATTTAATGTCGGTTTGAACTTTGAATTCACGGTGGGCCTTCCGTGCAGAGAAGGAAAAGCTGCTTTGATCCTGATTTCAGCGGCAAACAATATGCATAGTCAAATTGCATAGTTACGTGCATGAATGGAACCCCAAGTTGAGAACACCCATGCATAGTCAAATTGCATAGTTACGTGCATGAATGGAACCTTAAGTTGAGAACACCCACTAGTTTAACAAAGGGAAAAATCAAAGTTATTGAAGGCCTCAAGTTCTTCCCCACTAATATATGGAGTTGGATCGACACAGTGATATGGGCCTGGAGCTGCAGCTGATTTGTGCTCTTTGAGAGAGCAGTTTCTTTCAGAGAAAAAGAAAGGCAGATGAGAAAGCCACATTAAAAGAGACCCTCTTGATGCAGAGCAAAAAATTTGAAGACCCAAAAAGAAGAGAAATCATATCATGCTTCATGAGTCATAGCCACTGATATAGAAGTTGATTTACCGATTTTTCTCAACTTTATAGAGACATTACAAGTTCAGTGAACTCCGACCACTGCATATCCATGGCGAAGTATGATACTTTATAATATAGATTTTACCTATGAAACTAACAAAAGGGGAGAGCCCACACTCAAATTGAACAACTACCAGCTTCATTCCGTACATATGACTCGGCTCTTCAGCTCTATCAATGCATCTGACTCGAAAAAATATAGGAGCTAGAGATAGAAAGGCAACCTTGGTAGAATAAGCACTAGCCTTGTGTAACATTTGGAACACCAAAGGCCATCGAAATCCATCTCCATTCATCTGTACATTGCTGCCACGGATACGATAAACCATCCGAAAGCAAATGTAATTGAGGTGAGAGAAAATGGACAAGGATAAAAAGGTTAAAAAGATGAGCCATTATCACAAAAATGAGACATCGTGGATCCTTGCTTCCTCCTGATCTCTTCCAACTCAGTCATTTGATAACTGTAAGTCCCTCCACATGGCAATCTCTCTCTTTTCTTCTATCCTTCCATGGCCAGTGTCTCTTGATGAAGCATAGTCAGTTCTTTTTTTATGGGGAAGAATAGTCCGTTAACGACTCATAAAGATCGGCATTTCAGCAGCGTCCATCCGGATTTGTGCTTGAGAAGCCGAACATTGTAGCTCCGATTTCGTCCACCAAAGTTTTCTAGCTCCAAAAGTTCCAGGAGTGGTATCCTGTTATTTACCTTGCTTCTTCCCTGCTGTTGAGAGACAATCAGTACAGTTATGAAAATAACATGTTTTATTTCCATGATATGCATTTGGCACCTGAATTTGAGGAAACACAGACACTGATAGTTTAGACTTTCACACCACAACTCCACAAGTCATCATTGACCCATGATGATATTTTCCCTGTAACATGGCGAACGTTGTTTCTTCCTATAGCTATTGATCTTTTTTCCTTGTAAGTAAAAATGCAGATTAGGTCGACCAGCGCTAGCAATGCCTCTCTAGGCGTTACCATATTTTTTCTAAGCTATTAATCAGCATACTTGTCCTCATGCTTTTGTTCTGGTCATAAAATCACTCTGCCAAATATGGGATCTGATGGAGTGCACTGACAGGCTAAAGGTGAGATGCAATGAAGCACATCACTTGTGATTAAAGACAAAAGGGACAAGTATGACCAGAACTGGATAAGCACAATTTATTACAGCTAACACTAGAGAGATTTGTTCTGGAATACCTCTTTGGAACCATGATCTTCGGACTGCTTGACGGATGTGCCTCTCATGTTTTTCCAACAGTTCGTCAACTCTGTGAGACTGAGACAATAATGGCCCGGAAAATTCAACTTTGTCTGCATGATCATGGTAACCCTGTCCACAAGAAAATATAAGTATAATAAAACCAGTAAAACGAAATGGGGTTGAACAGTTCTGTACGAAAAATATCAACGCACATAAATCACAGAAAATTAAAAGGAGTATTTCCCAAATACTGTTCAAAGGCTCACCTAAAAGAGAAACAAACTACACTTGACCAAAACTGACACAACTTTGCCTGATGTGAGTTATTTAATATGTCAATCATGATAGATGATACTCCATTAGTTAAGAATTGACACAGTTACCACAAACAAGAGAAACACTGATTCAGTTGAAGACTGATACTGCCCTCGTCAAAACTTCCTTATCTCGACAAATTCAGTTGAAGTACCATCATCCAGACACCACAAAGCCCAACTAGTTTCCACATCTTTTAATGATTCAAATGCTAAAAACACTACAATGATCATAAGCCTTTTGCTACACGAAAACAGCAAGAATACCAATTGTAGTTCGCATTCAGTGTAGGTTAATGCAGCAACTGTTGATGATTCATATTTGACAACAATGCATGTGTGCGAATTTGAGTAGTCCTCACCAAATTGTTTCTCTTAGCTGCCATTTCCTCTCTTTGATAGAGTGCCAAAGATAGTTCTTGTGAGTGGTATTCATCAGAAGCATCAAAGGAATCAGGACGCTCAAAGTGGCCCCATTGGTTTGGAATCATATGCTTCACAATGTCATTTGAATAATGGCCTCTAGAGTTTGTACGTGCCCCATATGGTAAGTTACCGTTTTCATGACGCTTCGAGTCGACGTTATTCCTCGGTTGCAAGGTAATAGAAGGTTCTAACACATTGAAAATGTGACCTCTGGAAATGGATCTAGTGTGGGATCTAACAGGAGCCTCATCTTTTCGCCTTTTTGCCCAGGCAAAGCCACTTGATGAAGATACCTGTAATGGGCCAGAGAAAGGAATGTCTCCTTGAGATGCATTCTTTGCATGAGAAGCCTCTTCAGGTAAATCTAGTGATGGCTTCGGTGCATCCCAGCCTGATATGACTTTGCCCTCCTTAAGGATGTGCAGCTTACTGCCATTGACTTCGATTCTATCGGCAACTTTAGCTGGGGGTGCGAAATCCTACAAGACAATAACAAAGTTAAATAATATCAGCTGCATTTGGCAACAACAGTAGAGAGACAGAGAGAGAGAGAGAGAGAGAGAGAGAGAGAGAGGACCTCTGTTGGTGCCAATTTACTGGTTCCATGGGGTTTTCTAGTTTGTTTTCTTGCAGTATCAGGTCCGCGAACTCTCGCACCACCCTTTTTCCTGTAATTTAGATGGAGTTTGCAATTTGCCATAAGTACAAGAAGGACAAGCACAGAACAAAAACATATTTTCTAAGCTTGTATATGACCCATAAAGGTTCCAGCATGGATGGTGCATTTAGAGATCACTTTGAAAGCAGTTATAGTCCATTTCTTTTGTTTCAGAATTTGAAATATATCCTCCTAAACCTTGCGAGTCAGCCACTCCTCAGCTAGTATCACTCTCCTTTAGTTTCTCGAATCCAACACATGTTGACATGAAAGCTCAGAAATCTCAGTAGAGGGCCTTCTGTTTTTTAATTTCAGAGTATTTGCAATAATCATCTCGCAGCCCTTTGTGCATTCTTCACTGATAAAATCATAGACGTCGGTGGAAATCCAACTGCAACAGAAATTCCTTTTGCTGCTAGCAGGGTTGCCAGTTAAGCTATTTTGCCCCATTTTAATATTGTATATTCCGTAAGATCATTAATAGACATCCAGATGCAATAATTGCTAGACCAGAAATTTCAAAAGACAACGAGACTGGTTAGATCTTTTGATCAAATAAGCTACATGAGAACCCTCACCTTTTCACTTCTTCACGATTTTTCGCGTCAATTTCTTTGCTAGGAGGGTATATTGGCAAGCTTGACGGTTCACATGCGTAAGGCTTCGTTCTGAAATACTGGAGATTGCATAAAAAATTGGATCAGGAGAGCTGTTGCCACCTAGATAAATCAATTAAGTTTTGCAGGTATCTGGCGTTTTTTTCTTTTGCTGGTAGATATCTAGAAGCATTGTTCAGAATAAAAGTTGTGGAAATTCAATCTAGTTCATGCAATAACAACATGTTGACGCGTGTTTTGTAAATCAGAACCCCTCACCACCCACAACATGCAATCATGTCTAGATGAAACCGAAATTGACATTCATATAAACAGAACTTCAAACCAAAAAAAATGAAGCTAGTCTTACTTGTTGGAAAATCTGCTAGTAAAAGACGATGGAAAATAAGAACAAATATCTGAGGCATGCAAGCATTGTCCTTAAGGATAACTCCACATAAGGCTCTAGCGGCCATCATCCCAGGATACACAGATCTTCCTCTTTACTCCGCACAGAATAATAGAGGGAGCAGGAACAACAACGTTATACGTAAAACCCACCCAGCAAATAAATGGAAAGAAAAGAGAGAATTTCTAATTATGGCTTTCAGATTTTCAAAACTGTTGAAATATCCAATATTTCTAGCCAAAAAGCACATGAAGCTAGTCTGATGAGCGGGGTGTAGGGAACCAAGGAAAAAGGACACCACAAAACATCATTTATCACTGATACCTCAGATGCAAGAGCTGATGAAGTATTCCCACGCTTGTGAGGCTCAACTGAAAGAAGTGTTCCTATCAAATCCACGGCGGCAGCAGGCAAATCTGAAAAGGTCTCCCTAAGACAGCTATCATATGGCTGCTGAGGCTTGAAGAGCGTTGCATGAGGAAGTCTAGATTTCTTCCAGTAATCATCAGGTGGCGAGCCGCACAGCTTGAAAATTTTGTGCAATTGTTCAACCTGTAGGTCAAGAATAATCTCCTCAGAAATCAAAGATAAACTTGCGGAGAAGTCGCAAGTGTCAAAACAGTAAAGGATTATAAAGATTTCTCTGTATATTCTGGCTAACAAGAATCACGAGCGATATTAATTTTATTGGTGAAGGTCATCTACATGAATCCCTTTGTGCGCTTGCACTCTGTCTTGGGCCACATGCTTTTTAATACTGAACATGCAAGCTTATTTAAAATTTCTATTAATATCTTCTCCATCCCTTCACATCACTTATTTATGTTAAGTTCAAGACAAAGTTTGAACCCAACAGTCTCTGGCCACTAACAAATAAAATTACTAGCTAACCTTCCGTAACTATTCATCCATTACCAACCGAAGGCACCTAAATAGGGGCAATGGAAGCTATTGTACTTTTTTGCTGAAGAAATTTCAAATAAAAGGACAAAACTTGCACTTTTCAATGCCACAACTAGCTGCTAGATGCCTATAGATTATTTAATAAAGCTAAAAATACTTTAGAAGAAACGTCGAATGCTTTCCTTACTCTTCCTTGAATTTTCCAATTTTTCCATCACGTCCTTACCATTAAGACTTCCGAGTATGTCCATGCTTTGAGTGATCAATGATTAAGTGCAAATGGTTTTTATGAATTACAGTTTCACCAAAGTAATAAGCCTGTTGGTTCAGAGGAAACACAAGCTTTAATTGCTTAGTACCTCTTTGGCAAACAAAAAAGAAATGATCCTTACCTCGGTCCTTCCCTGAAGAATGGGTTTTCCGAGGATAATTTCTGCAAACACACAGCCAACACTCCACAGATCGACTGATGCTCCATAATCTGTTGATCCTAGCAGAAGTTCAGGAGGCCGGTACCATAAAGTCACAACACGGCTAGTCAAGGGCTGCCTGTTTCCAGAACTACAGAAGTTGGCCAATCCGAAGTCAGCCACCTTCAGAATTCCTTCATTGTTTACCAAAAGATTCGATCCCTTGATATCCCGATGCATTATACCCCTCGAGTGACAATGATCAAGTCCAGACAGTAGTTGCTTCATGTAGCACTTGATCTACACAGTAAAGCCATTTTATAAAATAAGCATCCCTTCAAGCAGCAAATTATGTACTAAACCCCAGCTAGACGCTACCAGTGCCACTCCAATGCACGAACGTGATTCCACCTGATTGACAACTCGCCATTTCTAAGTCCGCTTGACGATTATCAAAGCATATTCTCTCTAGTTCCTTAGTTTGAATACTGCTTGTAGTATCGTAGTGAGTCATCTAGTTTCATTCAATGAGTAGTTTAATTTTTTTGAAAATGGAAACATTCTGTAGCCCCCTAGGTGCTAGGATGATTATATCAAAAGTGAAGCAAACAAACCTGCGCCTCGCTGAACTTGATGTCTGGGCAAGACAAAAGTCCGGTTATATCATGCTCCATGTACTCAAATACGAGATATATGCTGCAAGATAATCTAGAAGTGATTAACCCCTCCAGCTTCATAATATTTGGATGGTCAAGCCTGCGGAGTATCAAAATTTCTCGTGCCATAAATCTGACGCTTTCTGGCTCAAAGTTGTCAAACCGAACTTTCTTTAGAGCAACAATCCTTCCAGTTTCAAGATCTCGTGCTCGAAAGACACTGCTATATGTACCCTGCCCAATCTATTCTCACAGTTGAAGTTAAGAACAACCAATATCAGTCGTACATCCAGAGCGATGTATTCGTGGCAAAACAGAAAATTCAATCAAAGACAGCAGGTTTCACCCATAATAGTCGCAGCATACCAACAGAATAAATTGCATAGCTTCCTATGCTGATTTGCTCATTGGCCCTCTCATAGTAGCCATGATAATATCTACTTCAACCTTAATGAGAACGGTCTGCAAGCTTCTTATGTCAAAGCTACTTTTACAATTGGCCACAATGCTCTACTCAATTGTGCAAGAGAATCTCCACAAAATAGGTAAGACTTAAGAGATGCTCATTTCTGAATGACTCAACAGTGAAGCTAGATAACTGAAAAAGTATCATCTCAGCACTTGATGCCTCCTAAATGGGTAGTTCACCGAACTAACTTAAAGTGTGACTTAAATAGAGTCCTGCACACTTTTCAGGCATGCCCTAGCGAGACTTTATAGTCTGGCTCTCGGCAAGTATAGTCGAAATACAATTTCTTCAACACGAGATATCCACCAATGAACGTAAGTTACCAAATGGACAGGACAGAAGACATCATTTCTATGGCTCGAATTGTTTCTTCTCTGTTACAAGCATCAGAAAAACCATGAAAAGAACCACAAAATTCCACAGAGAAAATGCAACTTTTGAATTCTGGTCAGTATGGAAAAAACCCATTACAACACCATAGGACAAAAAGAATTGAAAGTCACCAGTGTCAAATTCACAAATGCTCATACTTATCGCGAACAGCGAAATCACAAGAGTCGAAAATAAAATAAAGCTCCGCAAGCTAACTAACTTATAATCATGATTGTCAAACAAAGATGGGAGATGCACAAACTTCTTCTCTTCCCACTTGTTCACAACGTACAAATTCCAGGATAAAATAAACCGGAATATGCTCAAACCGCAAAAGAGATGAAAACCACCAACCTTCTCCAACTTCTCGAAAGCGTCCGCCCGCAGCGGCACCCACCCGTGAATCGCCTCGCCGGCCACAGCGCTGAGCCATGCCGGCCACCCGGCCGCCACCTGCTCGCCCTCCACGTACTTCTGCAAATTCCCCAACCTAAAGCTCAAGGAATCCCCATTCGAACTCGCCCGCCCGGACTCGCCCAGCTCGCTCCCGCTCAGCCCCGCCCCGACCCCGGTCTCGCCCCCCTTCTTCTTCTTCTCCAGCTCGACCCACCCGACCCGGCTCCGGCCCGAATTGCCCGGCCCCTTCGCCGCATTGTCCTTGAACTGCCCCGAGTGGTCGACCGCGGGCGTCACGGACACCGCTTGCTTCGAGCTCACGCAACCCATCAAGGCTCGAGCCCAAATCCAGAGATGGGCATCGCACAGATCCCCCGGCGGGTTCGGGTCGACCCGGATCGAGCCAGGTGGGGTGGGGGGGGGGGACGGTCGGAACCGGCGAGCCCGGAACTGGGTCACCTCAGAAACACGAGAAAAAGAAGAAAGAGGAAGGAGAAAACAACGAACGACACGGGAGCGAGGAACAGGAACAGGAACAGGGGTACGGATCAAGAACGATGGTGGGGGGTGGGGGGTGGTGGAAACAAGATGGGGCTTTTATACGACCGATCCAAAGATAGAAAGGAGGGAGCCCCAATCCCTGTCGAATGTCGGGTCGCTCTCTCCCCCCTCCCTCCCTCCCCTCCCGCCCTCTCAAGAAACGACCTTTTCGCTCACGTTCAGCTCAGCAGCGACAATCGCGGGAAGGGTTAGATAGAGCGGGGAGGGGGAGAGGCATTTTAATGGGGGTTGGCGCAAAACAGAAGCCAGCGAAATCAACGGGCAAAAGAAATACACGAGAAAAGGGGCCGAAAAGGAGAAGGGAGGTGAATGGAGAACGGGGTCTTGGAACATGGAAACGGGCGATGCGGGGCGGTGGTGGCGGCGGCGGTGGGGTGTGGTGTGGTGTGGATGGATGTGGGAACGAAAGCGATTTTTTCCTTGGCCCTCTGGCACTGTGCGTCGCGGGGCGCGCGACTTGTGCTCCTGAAATTCTCTGTCCTTGGATTCTTGTGTTGCCGTGTGAAATGCTGTTGGATTCGCGCGCGCAAAAATACAGACTGTTGTCTTCTCTCGTATCGCATGCAAAATTGGTCTGTATGGACAGACAGAGACAGAGAGAGAGAGAGACAGAGAGAGAGAGAGAGAGGAAGAGGGAGAGTGTTTTGTGTCCCCGTGTGTGTGTGGTGGCAACTGGCAAAGCCCGATAGGGGGGCAATTTGGGTGGATTTTGACTAGATGCGCCTTGGATTCTAGAAAAAAAAATTTGGGGGAGTTTTCCTGCTTTTTCTTTTTTTAATTTCGAAATTTGATGTATCTAAGATGCCTTCTTCTTCTTTTTTGAAAAAACTTTCAAATAAGAGCGTGAAGCATTCTCATTTTCTCGAGCAAAAAGCCTGGAGTGGACCTTGTTTCAAATAAGGCCCCGAAGTGGTCAAATTGTTTCAAATAAGGGCTTGAAGTTGTCAAAATTGTTTCAAATGACGACTCTTGGCCGGCCGGTCGACCAACATGTGACTATTCCGGCAAGGGGTATTTTAGTCAAAAAATTCTAGATATATATTTTTAAATTTTTTTACTTTTCTTTTTTAATTTTTCCTCTTCCCTCCCCCGGCCAACGTCGCGCCTCGTCGATGACCAGCGGAGGTTGCCGACCTCAGCGAGGGCTGCCCTCGCCCGTGTCGGCGAGGGCGGCCCTCGCTTGAGTTCGAAGACCTCCATCGGTCATTGGCAAGACCCGGCGATGGCCGGTGGAAGGAAGAGGGAAAATGAAAAAAAAAAAAAAAGAAAAAGAAAAAGGAAAAACATAAAAAGGAAAAAATAAAGAAAAAAAGTAGATGACAAAAATGCCTTTTGACCAGCGAGTTTAGGCCCTTCTTTGAAATTAATATGATCACTTAAGGTCTTTATTTGAGAAAATGATGGCACTTCATGCTTTTATTTAAGATAATATCAACTTCAGGCTCTTATTTGAGAAAATGAAGACATTCTATGCCATTATTTGGAATTTTCTCCTTTTTTTTGGGAATGACTCGTATTTCTAAGTTGATTTGCTTGACATTTTCTAATTCCCGTTCATATTTGTTCACTTTCTAAGCCTTATATAACATTTTTTTTCATCAACGCTCGACCTTTCTCATTCTCAAATTTGGTTCACACTACATAACATAAAACCGGATTTGAACTATTCGATTTTTCATTTCGATATACTTATTATGTGGTGGTTTTTTATCGCATAATCAACACTCTATGTTCTATCAAAATACTTTATGCAATATCTTCAATATAAGCAATTTTTATAGAACAATTGGGATAAGGAGGTATAACTATTTTATGTTTTTTTTACTCTGACATAACCGCGAGTCCTTCGTAAGAGATTCGTAACATCACCGGCATGTAAAAGTCCCTTGAAAATAGAAGTATTCCTATTTTATTACTATAAGATTTTTTTTTCCTTTTTGGCTAAACCTTATTCGAATGAGATTATCCACATGAGAAGGGTACTCTTTGAAAATCTTTGAAGGCAATTTGCTCAGCTGAGTAAAGGGAGATGTTGAAAACAACAGCAAAGGTATGAAAACTGATGAAAAAGAAAAAAGGAAAATAAAGGGAAAGTGGAAAAGGGCTAAAAAAAGGAAACACAATCAATTCATGCCCTCAACTTTTTTAAATTAATTTCCACACTCTTCACTATCCTTTATTTCCCCTTTTTTGCCCCCCCCTCCACTCACAGAGTTCAGACAATTTCCTCCATTTTCATTGCCCTCAGTCCCCACTCATTGAGTTTGGTGGGGCCAATTTGATAAGATTTTGTCTGCAAGAATCTCTATGCTTTGAGGCTTGACTTGTTTTCTTCCCAAATGTCCACAAATCACATAATTTATTTAATATGCCCCTTTTTTTTTCTACAGCGGTCCATGCTTGACAATCCAAGTGGCTCAATGCCCTCCAAATAATTATTAATATCTATCTATGTCATGTGTATACAAAAAAAAGGGGTCCCCCCATTGACCAATTTTCTAATTTTCCTAGGGTTTCTTTATTTAAAGTGAGCTTGTTTGACTAATGGGGATCCTAATTATGCTAAATTATGCAAAATTGAAGTTGGTAGGAACTGCAATTGAAGGTTGGGACCCTCTGTGTCAATGGAGTAAATACTATATAGCTAGCACCGGCAGCATTCAAGCCTCACTTTTTCAAATTTAAAAGTTGCCCCCCTCTTCTTTCCCTCTTCTTCCATAGATTTTTTCATGGACAAAACTTTGTGCACAGTTTCCTTTATGCAAGGGGTCCTAATTCCTTATCATCCAAACTGGGACATTATGAAAAAGTTGATCTTTCTTCCGAAAATTACTTTCGCGAACTTGACATTTATCCAAATCAATTTACCGAAACAAAATTCCACAAAAGCTACGTTGTTATAAAAACCCTTTTTATGTTTCCCGTTTTCTGTCATCTTGGAACAGGTCTGTCCAATAATAGATCATTCTTGCAACCATAAAAATTGAAACAAAAATTAAGAGCGAGTTTTCTGCCAATTTTGCTTTTGTAGATGAGAATAGGAAATCACCAAATTGACTTTATTTACTCTCTTTTTCCTCTTCTTTTACAAACTATTCCCAACGAACACATCGAATCCCCAGCTTCCAAGGCATCCTTGGATCTAACAACGCTTACGGACTGAAAAGAATTTTGGGGTTCTTTATTTATTTATTTTGCTGGTAGAGCCTTGAACTTCTTGCATTTCCAATTTCTGTTTTTTTGGGGGGGAAAATTCTTGCCCTAGCTTCGAGCCATCAACATCAAATTTCAAAAAGCATAAACAAGCAAATAATAAAGAAGACAAAAGAAAAAATTTGAAGGGGCATATCATTTCTTTTCCTGCTTCTGAATGGTCCCAATCCAACCCATACCTGGGAAAAAGGAAAAAATAAAATAAATAAAATCTGTAATTCATATGTACGAAAATGGCAACTAGTAATTCTTTAGACCTCACATGCAAGAAGCAGCACCGTCAAGAAAAGGGCTTAGGACATCAACCGTTATTATTATTGCTATAAAGTTCTCTTTTTGAGAGTTTATGTACTGGTTTTTTTTCTTTTGGTTATTGATTCTTTAGTGCAATTTGCGTGCGGTGTGAACAATCACTACTGGAACTCATCTCATTTCATGCCATGATTGCTGCCACCCATGATCTATTTGGAGGACCCCTCCTAAACAGTAGGCAAAAGAGCGCTCAATTGCACTCATGCACCAAAAAATATCCATTAAATGCAACCACTCCAAGAGATACAAAAAAAAGGACAGAACATCATGTGACCCTCAATCTTTCAGAGCACATGAACTGCAATTAGGGAAATCATGGACATAAATTATGAATTGTAACTTTCATTAGGGCTAAAGGTCATTCTAGGATTTAGTAAGTTGATGTTTGCATATGTTGGGTGAAGACAGTAGTGGAGGGGGTGTGTCAGTGAGTAATGGCTTTGTTGAGGCAGATTGCTGCTCCAACTGGCACATGTTCTGCCCATAGAGCATTAGGAAAAGCTCTAAATGGAGTAGCTAAAGAAGCTATACACTTTCTCATGTGAAGGCATCTTTGTAGGCACTGGAGCCCTTCATCACTTTACTATATAACAAGCTTGCACCAACATCTTCTGAGAGGCACCATAAGAATTTAGAATGTGATTGTATATCTTGATAGTTCTACCAAACGCACAAGAAGTTCAGAATCGATAGGATTGGGACTATAGAATAGGGGGATTAGAGAGGAGCAAAAGTGCTGGTGGGACAGGTCAAAGGTTGGTCTGGTGGGTGTCACATTCCAATCATTGTCCAACAACTACGCTCATTCATGCTCTGATCAACACTAACAACGAATCCCATTTCATCTCATTAGGTGTAGAAATTAATTTACCATTCATTAGCATAAAATGGGAGGAGCTGCCGACAATAGAAATCTGCCATGCTCAATAATTCACACTGATCTAACTACGAATATGCTAGAGATGGTACAAATCATGTTACGTAAAGTTTCCCATACAAAAGCGACAAACTGCAAGCATTGATGAGGAAAAATCGTGCTCGAGTCACAGCGACTAATTTTTCATCTCAACAAAGCAAATAATATCAAGAAACGCAATGCATAGAGATGCTTCCACAAACTTTTTGATGCCCATCTTTTCATGTACCCTGACCTGACGACAATGATTAACCGCACATCACCCCCAAAAGGTAAAGATTAAAAGCGCATCAATCGATCTGAACTTGCTTTGCTTTGTCAAATTGCATCCGTATGGTTTTGGTCAATAAGGTAGATTTGTGTTTTAGGTTTAACTTTACAAAGTCATCAATTGTTTTGCCTGTTAGGTAATGCTCTCTGTTGTCCTTTGTCATCACTGCAAGTGCAAAACGAGGTCAAAGCAAAATGATCGCTCTCGACAAGATATTCCAACATGCAAGAATCATGGCTTTTGAAATCACTAGTCAATAGAAAGGGAAAGTCCCAACACAGTTCCTCTGTTGGATTTCTTGCTCTCCTTTCAATCATCTGTGCACATTAGTGTAAATGCTAAGGGCAACCGAATTACTTTAACATCGGAATCAATGTATTCAAGTTGATCTTGATTAAACAACACGCAAAGTCGAAAGTTCAAAGCAGAATGAGGTTTTGTTACGTGCAATGTTCAGTTATGGTCACCATCCTATGTAGTAGCAATCGCATTCTGCAGAATCTTCACTGACCCTTTTTTCCCAGCGTGTAAGCTCGGGTGATGTTACTTCAGTCCTAGAAAGAAAACTAAATGACATGGTCCTTCGACTCCTATAAGTCACTCCAGTGCTATTTGTTGCCGGCGAGGTTGATGGCTGACCTAATTAAGACAGAATAAGACATGCAGGTTGTGGCAATTTAGGGGTAATACTGAATAAGACGTAGCGCCATGCCCACGTTCCTTGACAAACATGGTTGACGAGTTCCCTTCCAATGCAATTAAGGAGCAACTGTTCATTTGTTTTGGTCTGCTAAAAGTCCATGCAGGTCCACAGATTCATTGACTTATATGACTTGAGCACCAAATGGTCTACGATCATGTTTGACAAATCAAACCACCCTCAACTAAACCTGGACCAAGCGGCGAGGTTATGCCCGGTCGTAGTCACTCCTTGTTAGGCCCTTCTAGAATATAGCACTCTCAAATTGGCGTCACAACTGGATTCAAATTCAGATGAGATAGAAATATCTAAGCGTAGAGAAGTCATAAGTTACATTTCACAGCCAACTTAATTGTATTGTTCCAATCAACAGCTCATCAAAGCATTATCTTTTTTCAATCTGCTAGGTGCAAATGTCTGCAAACAATACGGGTTTTTCTTCGGACGCCCCATTCCAATTGAGAGGGGCTTCAATATTCTTCTGCTACAACGTTTCATTTGAGTATGGAAGCTTGCAAGCTGCCTTGGGGTCTTTTGGCTTGTACGTACCCAGCATCTCTGCAACAGTTCTACACCTGCATTGGTTTCCCGGCCGGATTACATCCCCATAAACAGCCATCTCGATTATGTCAAGCTCTTTATCTGCATGTGTCGCATTATGTCAATACATGCTAATCGTTCTGGGACAAGGGGACACGATAGGGAAAGGATAGGTATAGGAAATAGAAATATCATCATACCTAGGAAAGAAGTGATTAATTCGTCAAGTAATTTGGAGTCAAATAACAGATGAATTTTCTCTCCTTTTTTACTTGAAGAAGCTATTACAGCCACAATTGTATTATTGCCATAAATCACAATGCCATCATCTTAACACACACTACTCCCTTTTCACCAACCCCAGTTCCTACCATAATAACAGCAAACACAATCTATGGAACGCCGTTATAAGAAATTATTGTAAAATAATGTGGAAACTGATTGGATCTTGCAATTAAATCCACACATGAGAACGAATTAACTAGAGAAATCCACACGCGCCCCAAATGTTTGAATGAATGTATTCAACCGATTGCTTGGTCAAATAAATAGCTGTACTAAATTTAAATTGGCACTGCTTCCCAAAGAAGCAATGCTCACACGAATCCAACTTTCTTGTCTACTAACCCTACAGCAAACACCTGTCACTTAGCATCATAATACTTGCCTCACTTATGTGCCCCAAATACATATGCCATAACCGATTCAAGTTTGAATCTAACCCACCCGATGAAACTGCAGCAGCTCTTGTCACGGTCTCTCCTAGTTGATGATAAAGAGAATTCGCTTTCTCTCCTTCATCACTATCATGACCTCAAGAGATCTTTAGCACTCCATCTTCAGTGGTGTACTTGCACTCGCTGTCGTCAAGTATCCCTAGAGAAATAAGGTTCTTCTTGAGTCCGATACATGCCTCACATCTGTCAGTGTACGCATTACCCCATCGTGCATCCAAATCCATAGTGCCCCTATCGCCACAGCCTTATAGGCTTTATTCCTAATCAAAACTCTATCACCATATGTAATCCGGTAAGTAGTCAATCAGTTCTTATAAGGCGTCATATGATAAGAACACCCCCAATGTAGTACCATTTTGTCACCTGACGAGCCGGTAGTCACACAAAAGACAACGTTCACCATATTGCTTTTGGCATTCTACCTTTCACTTCTGTTTCTTAGCTTAGAACAACCTCTCCTCAAGTGCTCCTCCTTGTGACACTCAAAGCACTTCATGTGACCCTCGGACTCTTGATGACGCGACTTCAATCTACTTTTACCTATGCTACTGCTGATCCCCCAATGTTGATGTCCACCCTGAATCACTAGTTCCCATGCTACATCCTACACCGGATCGTCATCTCACAAATTGATAGGCCACTCCTTAGAGAACAAGGTGAATTTTACCTCTTTCGAAGTAATTATAGTACGCCCTTTTAACAGTGAATCAGTAAAGTGCTCCCATGACTCTGTTAGAGAAGCTAACAACATCATGGCCCGCATTTCATCATCTAGGGTCTCTCCGACGTTCTTCAAATCCATTATGAGTTTATTAAACTCATTTATGTGGGCTCTGATGGAAGTACCTTCAGTAAATTGAAACCAGAACATCCTCTTCAAGATGTATAGGTGATTATTCAAACCTTTCCTTACATAAAGAGCCTGAAGTTTTGCCCACATCGTCGCGGCATCATTCTCCTCAACCACTGCTATTAGCACCTCATCCGATAAGTTTAACGGGACTATACTATTTACTCTCTCTATCATCTCTACCTTATCAGTCTCTTTCATAGTATCCGGCTGGCCAAATCTTGAGTTGTTAATAAAGCACACATCTTAACGTTGCACAATCCAAAGTTGTACCTCCCGTTAAATTTCTCAACTTCTACTTTCGATTCAGACATAATTACAACAGCAGAATTTCCAAACAATAATCAGACAAGCAAAAGCCCTATATCAAAATCCAAAAAATTTTATCCTTAGCTCTAACCAATTGTCCGAGTCCAAAAAATTGTGTCGTACATATCGCTTGTCAAAAGCATAAACCTCAAAATTAGGCAGGTAACCTAACAGATCACTGACTATGCACAGGTTTTATTCAAATAAAGCGCATGGAGGAGTCTTGAGCTGAGGAAGAAGGGACGGTTGGCTTTTCACTCTTGTAGGGTGTGAAACAGACTTATGATATTGTTGTTCTGTTGTAAACCTGAATTGTCCAAACAGGAGCCAGCGGACGGGACGGATTCTAAGAGAAGTAAATGAAGCAAAACACCACGGTCACTAATACCGCCCCCATACAGCTAGAGCAACTACATTTCTTCACCAATTAAACACCCCATGTATCATCTTTGGAAGCTCACCAAGATCTCTGTCATTTTCCCCTATGGCACCTCGAATTGAATCCCACAATTAGCTCTAAGAAGCCATAATGACATTACACTGCAAAGTGCAAACTGCAACAGTCATACATGTCTATTATTTTCTCCTATGAAAGCCGATCACGAACGATGTAGCCCATCACATCTACGGCAAGAAGGAAAAGAGTCCAATCACCTGTAAATTGGACGTCACAAGAGTAGCCTCTGAGCTGAGTCGCATCCACCAGTTCTTTGTCCGACTTGAACCTGTTCACCCTCGTCTGAAGTATCTGGCAATTGTCAGCAGTGGACTCGCCGCCTGCAGACACAAAACCCCGCAAACCCATGACCGTCCCCGCGGCAGTACCGCAAAAAACCAGCGACGGCACACGAATCCCTCCGGAATGCAGAGCTCATCATCGCTACTTCCTCCGGGACGAAAGAAAAGAGGCGAGAACGGGGGAGGACCTTTAGAGAAGGGGACGATGTGGTCGTACTCGAAGCAGAGGCAGCCCTGGCAGTTGCAGAAGCGCTTGCAGACGACGTTGCCAGCGGCGTCCTGGCGCCACCGCTCGGGGTGCCTGCCGGGGACGACGGCGGCGGCCGCCCAGCACTTGCTCTTCGCCTTGGAGTCGAAGGACCTCGGCCGCTCGTCGCCGCTCTTCCTGTTGTTGTTGTCGCCGCCGCCGCCATGGGCGGCGCGGGAGCGAGAAGGTGAGGATGGAGAGCTCATGGCGCTGCGTAGTGTTCCCAAAGAAGCGCCCTCTCTGTGTTTGTCGAAACGCCGCTTAGAACTGGAATGCGCGGAAAACTTCTCGAAAAAAACTTTAATTTTTTTTTATTTTCCTTTCTTTTTAAGACTAATTTCGAAGAGGCAATTACAAAGCTACCCCTCTCACTCTCGGTTATAATTACTTTTTTTGCACGAGTAATTTTAATTGCGGGTCTATCGTCTTGTTAGATACCGTGCCTTCTGAACGTTGTATCGTCGGCTTGTGGAGCCAAAAATCGTGACGGTCCAAGCTGAGATCTGCTTAATGGATGAGATTTATCGCATCTTAATACAACGGATGAAAGATTATTATCGTCGGCACAGAATGAAGCCACTCTTCTTATTGTCAGATTGAAAAGCAAAAAAATCACAATAGTTCGAGCTAAGATCTATTTAACACCTGAGATATACTGCATTTCCATCCAACAATAAAAGATTGTAAGATCCCGATGCCGTCTTTGCACAGTATGGCTCAAGAGATCGGAGTTTCATTTCGCACTTAAAAGGTAAGTCTCTTATTAAAGCATACCTTATCGTAGTCTCCGTCCACTTAGACAGCTCGATTGGTCTATAGACCCAAGCGCACACTCTAAGACCTGCTTTGAGATTTGCCAAAACTAGCATTTGACTTAAGGGATTCCTTGCCAAACACTCCAAATTTTTCCGAAGGGCCTTTAAAGGCTCGAAGCTCTTGAAAAAGGTAAACCAAACGGACCCTAACTAGACCTCACAAAGTTAGAGCTCTTCTTCTCTCATTTGCAATTTTAAGAGTAGCAGCCAAAAATGCAAGGGACGAGCTCGGCTGCTCCACCTGCATCGCTCTCTTTTGCTTCTTCTTGGCCTAAAAGGAAACAATTTGGGAATGCTTTTCATGGGTGGCGTTTGGGCTTGAGTCGGCAACGAAGAGTCACGGTTACCCGGAAGGAGAGAGATGAAGAGACAAGCTCGCCGAGCTCTTGTTGGAGGCCGAAAACATTGATTCCTTCACGGCCACCACGTCGCATGCCGGAGACCACATCTGCTTCTCCTATCGTAACGGACAGAAAGAACCCTCATTTTGAATGCACGACATCCTCGGTGCACATCACACGATGATGGCACACTGGTTTTGTAGCGGCTAAAACGAAGGGAGACTTCACAATTGCCGACTTCAGGTCCCAACTCAACGCTTGCCATGACGTCGCTTTAGATTAGGCTGAAAGTAATAATCCTTTCAAGAAGTGACTGGTCTCCCATCTGATAGAATCAATAGTAAATGTGAACAAAAGTCATCGTTGTGTTAGTCGACTACCAGGGCACGACGTGCAGTCTAACACAACTACCAGCGCACGACGTGCACAGTCAGATTGGCCTGTCGTCCCTCGGGAAAGACAATTCGAACATAGATAATACTAGGAGAACCAAAGCCAGTACCCGCATCTCAAATGTGAACCAGGACCGGTAGCCCAATTCGTCAAATCCAAAAATCCACATACTATATACAAGCTCTACAAATTCGGGGCAAAGTGTGACAAGAATGAAACCAACAGTATCAGATCACCAACGGCAGCTGCGATGGCAAATCCTAGGCTCCTAGTTCTACAACATGCATCTTCTTCCTCAGCTCAGTTTCATTCATGAGAATAATGCAGAAAGCACATGGTAGCACCAGTCACAGATACACACATCAAAGTCGGTTCCATTCGGTCATCCGACGCAGAAACATTCCGACCCAAGTGTCAATTATTCATCACCTTCAACTCTCGAGACTGCACGGAAAGACTCCCCCGTATTAAGAACGAAGATCATCAACCGGCACCATACTAGAGATATGGGAAACCATTTCCCACTAAGATGCGAGTATACCACCAAGAGCACGTGAGTTTCTGAAGTCCAGAGAGTAACTCGGCCTCCAGTCAACTTACAAAAAAGGTGAAAAACAGTTACAAATAACAGCACACGTCTCCCACAATCTGAAGACAGCAAGCTAGGGAGGGCTTACATAAATCTCGAATACAACACTGAGAGGATTGTAAAGTTAGTTCTTCGGACCGATATCCTTGAGAGTACAAATCTGCTCTTCTCCCATAGAGGACATAACAGTCACCACCAGATCCTTACCCTCAGCAAAGCCATCCTTAATCTGCAATGACAGAATAAGTGAGCTCCAAACTCCTTCTAGAGCGAAATGAGGCATGTAAACATCATTTACACCGGCCGGAGTCTCATAATGATTTGAGATGCAATCCTACTAGCATCGGGAGTAATAAGAAGAATCGGTGTACATGATTAAAAAAAACCATCTAACGAACCTGTGCCAACAAACTCTCATCGGTTGGGAGCCTGAGATCATCCTTGGTGCCTCCACTTTCAGTCAGCAGACTAACCTGAAAATTTTAATCTAGTTAGAATTGAGAACACAAGGCTCGCAGAGAAAGGGGTAAGGACTGTCACGATGAACATACAAATCCATCCTCAGAAATATCAATCAGCTGATAGTCAGTACGAGTGACGTGTGGAACCTGCAAAGGGAGAGTAAAGAAGGTGAATCACATTGACAGTTGCAGCAATAACAGTATCATAAGGGGTATGACATCAACTCGAAATACAGGATACACACATCACAGTTGTGGGATGATGGAACAATATCTTCCAGCTTCTTGCCGTTGAAGATGTCGATCCCGACAAAGTGGCACTTGGCATGACCATGCTTTCCGGTCTTGGAAGTGGAAACTTCGACAACCTGTCAAAAGCAAGTTAAAATTTTGGTCTGCACTCGGGGGCCACCATGAATCTATCACACGAGCGGAGCAAAAGAAAGACAAAAGTGAACAATCCCACATGAAAAAAAAAAAAAAAAACCCATCCTGACATGGAACAATGATCCATCAGAAATGATACCGAACAAGTAAAGCATCCTCACTACAAACGACTCAGATCAAATCCGGGTACTTCACAGAAACAGAGAAAAAGTCAACCGAACAGTGGACCGTGCACTTTGGATTTTAGTCTGGTCCGACACACCTACTATGACAGATGGCCTTCTTCCAGTGTCCCACGCACACATGTGCATAACTCAATGTATGAACTGCCCATCATGACTTACCACCATGTACTTACTTCAAAGGCAAAACCTATGAGATCAATTGGTCGACATACCCAGGCAAGGACCTTGAGGCCAACCTTAAGCTGGAACATGCCGCATCAGATTTCTACACAATATTCAAGAATTGCTGATCCCTAAGGAACAAACAGGGACACGCACGCCTAACATGGGACTGCAATCAACCCTCGTACCCACGAAGCCCGCGGCATCATCTCCAATCGATCAGAACCAGAACCAGAAACCACGCACACGGAAAACGAAGACGGCCTCGTTCGCATCCGAATTCAAACAGCCCGCCCCAGCGCAATCAGATGCTGAACACATAGCGCGCGCGGTCGAATCTCACGACCGAATCGGGACACGGAAAACAGCCACGTCGAGGCGGAAACCCGAATCGGACGAGGACATCTCGCAGAAGAAATGGAGCGATCGAGCGAAATTAAAAAAAGAAGAAGAAAAACCCGAGTGGAACAAGCGGAAGAGGAGAGAGCAACGGCGGATCCGCCGCCGCCGCGGCTCACCTTGCAGGGGCGGTTCTTGATGACGATGTAGCCGTTCTTGCGGATGGTGCCGGCCTGCTGGGGGTAGGTCTTGGATGCGCCGGCGTCCCCCTTGGACTCGAAGTGGTGCTCCTCGTCCGACATGGCGGCGATCGGCGGCGGAGCTCGGCGGCTGCGGCGGCGGAGAGAGAGAGAGAGGGGGTGATGTGAGAGAATCGCGGGGGCCTTTTTCTCTCTCTTCTTCTTCCTCAGGTCATGGCGCTGATTCCCTTTCGAGCTCGCGCTTTCTAGGGTTTCTCTGTTGTTTCTCCGGTGTGGGCCCGGAGCGAATCCTGTCCGTCGGATTTCATCTCTGACATTTTTCGCGGTTCCTTTTTTTTTTTGTTTTTTCTTTTTAGTTTTCTTTTTTCGAGGCTTCGATCGGATTCGAGTGGAAAAGTTGGGGGGCATTCGCGTTTTCCGGACGCCACCATCAATCATGGCCGTTGATTGTTTTTAATCTCTTGTTAATTAAGTAAGGGTAAATGCATATTCATAAAGTATGATAATCTTCTATCTGCATTTTTCAGAAGTCAAAATCATTCCTATCAAATCTGTCGATTTTTAATTTTTCTACTTCTGACGCCATAGATTGACTTCGAGTCAGTCTAGCCTTGCTCTAGTGCTGATCTAAAGTGATTACATTATAGGTCACGACGTTCACTTGAAGATTGTCATAACTTATTTTTTCGATTATTTTGAGTGCTGTGATTTATTAAAATGTTCGCCACAAGTGTCATACCACATCGGATTGGTTGAAGAAGTTTGAAGACTGCTATCATCTTGCTATTACTTTTTGGTGGAGTATATTTACATGAGAGATCCTTCTAAAAAAAACTAATTGAATCACAAGGAGAATTTTAATTTTAGATGTCAAAGACACACCGATCTAGTGTCATTGGTTATTCAACGAAACTCCGATCATATTTTCGTGGAATCTTAAACTCCGATCATAATATTTTAATTTGAGATGTCAAAGACACGTTTAAATGTCATGCTATTATTACCCATCTAGTCTTGCACGTTAACGACGCCATGATCGAGGCAAGATCACGGCACGATTAGGCCACGATCCTCGGCCGCGATCTACACTTGGTCATTGGAATTGGTGTTTGCACCAATTGGCGCCTTCATATCCATCCTTGGCTCAATCATGACTTAATCGTGGTTTGGTCATGCCTGATTGCCATCACCCCAACAGTAGAAAGTGGTCATTCATTTTGAATTGAGAGTTTCAGGGATTATATTTTTTTTTGTCTTAAACTTCCTTAATCAATTGAAATTGTTCAAGGGTTCTTCGACTCTTTAATGTTGCCATCGGAATAAGAGTTGCTTGTGAGTTACACGTAAATCGCATGTACGAAAAGCATCGCCACTTCTACATTTATTTTGATTATTATTGGCATGAGCTTCCAACAAAGTTCATCACGTCAACAGTAGAGAGTGGATACATTAAGAATGACACCTTGATGGTTGTGTGTTTTGATCTCGTAGAACTCTTGCAAACGCCAAAAGTAGAAACAGTCGGAAAATAATGCATAGGCCGGTCCTCTCACGTCACCATGGGGCCAGCCCATTCACTGGACGACACGTGGCCCATTCAATGTATAAACTCTGGAAATTTCATAATAATATGTATGTGACCTTAGCAGATTTCCATGTTTGAAAATGATACTTAGATAATAAGCTAAGTATTATTTAAGTTAGTATTCGTGCGGATGCGTAGAAATCGTTGTTGGACCGTAAATTGCGAGGCGCGGATTCGGGAACGTAATCGTTTCGAGCTCGATGTGTTTAAAATTTTAAACGTTGTTGTGTACGTTAATAGTAGTGCGGTATTAATTAATTTACCATTAGTGGGTAATATTATTGGTCGACACTTTTTAACTTGGTTACTTGAGAAATGCTATTCTATTGTGTGATAATAGTGAAGATATGGTGATGGTTGGATATGTTTTGCTAGTTCTGTACGTGTTCGAATGGATGTGTTTTGTTTCGTTAAAGTGTGTTGAAAATTGGCAAGTGCAATGATTAAGTCTGAACGTGTAAATGTTATCTTTGAGATGATTGTTGAATTTTTCTTGTTGGTTTTATGTATGTTTAAAAGGGTAGAAAATCGTTTTACTCAAAATGGAGTATATTAGGTAAGTGTAAATGATGATTCTATTTACTTCTAAGCTGAACAGATTTTAACCTTAAATTCCATTTATGTTTACTTATGAGCTGAACAGATTTTAACCTTAAATTATGATTCTGTTTACTTCTGAACCGAACAGATTTTAATCTTAAATTCTGATTCTGCTTACTTCTGAGCTGAGCAGATTTTTACCTCAAATTCTAGTTCTGGTTATTTTTAAAATTGTTCCGACTTTATGGTTAGAATCTGGATATGTCTATTTTTAAAACTGCTTAGACTTTACGGTCAGAATCTGGACATGTCTATTTTTAAAACTGCTTAGACTTTACGGTCATAATCTGGACATGTCTATTTTTAAAACTGTTCAGACCTTACGGTCAAAATCTGGACATGTCTACTTGTAAAACTGCACAGACTTTACGGTCAGAATCTAAACATGTCTACTTTTAAAACCGTACAGACTTTACGGTCAGAATTTGGACATGTCTACTTTTAAAACTGCACAGACTTTTTTTTCAAAGTCTGAACGTATTTATTTTTGAATTCGAGTAAACTTTATTTTCAAAATCTGAATGTATTTATTTCTGAACTTGAGTAGACTTTATTTTCAAAGTTTGAACGTATGTATTTCTGAACCCGAGTAGACTTTATTTTCAAAGTCTGAACATATCAATTTCTGAGCCCGAGTATACTTTATTTTCAAAGTCCGAATATATGTGTACTTTCTGAACTTGAGTAGACTTTAGCCTTTTGAATCTGAATCCGTATTGCTTCATACTTATTTGCTTAAATGATGCATTTCATTGCTTTAAAGGATATGTGACGTAAAAAGAAGGTGAATATATGCATGCAAATACTTGGTTGTCATGGCTTGCATGAGAATAATATAAATTTCGTCACCCACAATTCAATGGTGACGATGCCCCGTGTGTCGAGATGCCTAGTTGGTTGGGATGTCCCGGGAAGTGTTTCGAGATGCCTTGGGGGTCGAGATACCATGTTGGTCGGGATGCCTCAGAGTTGGGATGCCCCGGGAGTGTTTGGGAGGATGAAATAATGAACCTAACGCATGAGCATAAATGTTTTGCATCATATGCTTGCGTTTATATGAAAGTATTTTGAAATGTTGAATTGCTCATATTTTGTGGCACATCCGGACAAAAAAAGTATAACATGCATTCAAGTTCTATGTATACGGTTTGATATGTATGTATGTTGTTTATGTGAGGTGAAATGGTAAGCTGATTTTCCTAACTTAAAACTAGAGATTTCATTTATTGGGCCTCGGCTCATCCCATTATTTTTCAGACATGTAGGATGGATGTTTCTCAACCTCTACGTTTTGGAGTTCCCATATATCATGAAACTGTTTATGAAGATGTGTTTGTGGTTGAGTCTGAAGCGGTATTTACTATATGTAGCTCTACTGTCTGGGTCGACGTAGGATTTATGGAGTGGGTTCCTTATCGGTTCATTGTGTGGTACTCTAATCTCGACGGAGAGTTAGTTGGCCCGTTGAGGGGCTTCGACATAGCCAAGGATGATGGTTCCGCAATGGAGGGTAAAGTTATCGATCCATGACGTTACTCAAATTTTGGGATAAGGACACTAGGAGTGCTATAACTTTCGTATGACGCTCACTTGAGGCCATAAATTTTTTTTAGCTCACTTAGGGCGCGAATGACAACCATTTTGTTCCAGAAACAATTCCTGAAACAGAAATAGATTTTTTTTTTCTATTTCTGTTCCCAGGACGAGTTTCTGAGAAAAGAAATCCGTTTGATAACGACCAAAAATTTCTATTTCTAGAACAGAAACCCGTTTGATAACAACATAAAATTTCTATTTCCTGAAACGGAAATCCGTTTGATAACAACACGAATTTTTATTTCTCGGAACAGAAATCCATTTTTTTAGAACCCCTTTTGGGGGTTAAACGCCTTTTAGGGTTTTTAGGGGTTAAACCCCTTTTAAATCCCTAAACTAAGGAGTCTTCAAAAATACCATTTGGACATCTCAAAAAATTTACATTTCACTCAAAGTGGGTGACCATGGGTATTCTAAGCCATCTTATGAAGTTTTGAAAATTTTGATTTTTTGATTTTTTTTTGAAAAAATTCACCAAATTTCCTATTTTCTCGAAATCTGACTTTTTTTTATTTTCTGGGAATTTTTATGAATTTTTCTGGAATTTTTCAATTTTTATGGATTTTATAAAAAAATTTTTTAGATTTTTAGAATTTTTCCAGATTTTCTAAATTTTTTTATTAATTTTTTGATTTTTCTATTTTTTTTATTTTTCCTCCGGGAATGAACCGGACCGAACTGGTTCGAAACGATTTGACCTGGTCAGACCGAGGCCAAATTGAGAAAGAGATGTGTTTTGAAGAGAGAAGACAGGTTCTTTTAGAAATGGTTTTTATTTCTCGTCTAGAAACAGAAAACCTACTTTTTTTTTGTTCTGATTTTTGGTTCAGAACCAGTTCTGGAACAAAAAGTTGTTCCAGAAATAGAAAAATGGAATTGCGTCACCAAACGGGTTTCTGTTCCAAATCTGTTTCCGGGAACAGAAAACTAATTCTGGACAAAAACAGAATGGTTATTATTCGTGCCCTTAAGTACCACTTCCAGCAAAAAGTGATCACTTGAGTGCCATCGGCCATTTGACAGCCGGAAAATCCGACGTGGACACTAATCGTCCTACGTGGCTTCACCGGAGCTGATGTGAAATATATTTTAATATATTTTTTTGAATTTTTTTATTTTTATTTTTCCTTTTTTTTTCAAAATTTTTTTCAATGCTGGCGAGGGTCACCGGCGACCCTTACCAAATGCAAAGGCCTCGCCCAAATTGGGCGAGGGTTGCCTTGCTCTCGGCTGCGAAGGCCCTGGGCGAGGCCGTTGCCAGGTCTGGGCGGCCGCAAGCAAGGTGGCCTCACCAGATCTAGCAAGAGCCTTCACTGCCTCGCTCGCGGCTGCGAAGGTTGTCGCCAGATCTGGGCGGCCGCGAGCAAGGCGGCCTAGCCAAATCTGGCGAGAGCCTTTGCCGC